GGATTGGGAAAATAAAGGGCAGAATTTTATGCAATCTTAATATCATTCTTTCAAATAATACATATTTACACCATTAATAATTGTCCATTGGGTACCCTGCCCCACTCCAACACCACAACCACCACCTGCCCCCCCCCCCCCCCCCCCTACCTGCCTCACTCTCACCCACAACTGAAGCCGCTACCACTACTATCAACAAATACCTAGTCTGTGATACCATCTTATGCTTGAAGTGCACGTCAACCTGACAATTACCAACCGACACTAAATTGTTGTGTATAATTGTTTCCTCCAAAGAAAATCTGACGCCAAACCAATATGGTGTCTCTTAAACTGCAATCTGTAATCAAGAATAGCAATTTTAATATAAAGTTTATAAAATATGAATGGAAAAGCGTGGTTTATGATGAAGATATTGCTGGGGTTAATAAGTTAGGGAGTGACTCGTCGTATGAGGGGGAGGAACTGTACTGATTATACCCACCGGATCAACGGGCACGGAACGCCGCTCACTGAAAACATACGTGGCTTACAATGGATGTGCTTTTCTCTAAAGATCGAGAGTGACAATAGAAACGACAAGAAGGCGACGCGAGACATTCAATATTTTCATCATTTTTAGATTTATGTATTGACTAAGACCTGCATAGAGAATAGCTATCGTTGAATACAGCACGTCCTAAAGCAATTAAGGGGTGTATACGATGAAGATTTGTACGAAATGTCGGCATGTCGCTTATTAATACTTTTCTTTGATGTTCAATTAAATATTTAGAATACAGAGTGATAATGAATTTATCCGCTGCGACCTTATATTTCAGAGATATTTTTGGCAATATGTGGGTTTCTCACATTTCATTTTTATTTGTTCAAATCTATTTGAAAGTTATCATCTCGTTCTTTTTCTCTTTCATCAAAAACATCTTGACAATACAAGTTCTTTTCTTCAATTCCATTCTGCAAATTTCGTAAGAATTAATAGAATATTCAAGGCAAACTGTATATTTCGTGATATGGACCTTGTCAGTAGAGAAAAAAGTAGAGCCAGAATAAAAAACAATCTAATTATAAGATTACAATTCCGTATACATGTATTTAAGATTTCTATTAGTCTCCATTCTGATCTAACACGTTTTTTACCAAAGCTACGTTATGTAATGTTTTGGATTTTGAATTGTTATCTTGATAGCAGACTTCCGAACTCGATAAATGAACAACAGATTCCAAACAGTAGCTAGAATTAGCTCAGCCTTACAGTGGTCATTGAAATTCTGTGTAAACTGGGAAATTAGTTCTGAAGGAGTTATCTCCCATTATCATTAACTTTATTTTATAAACTCGGTCAATTTCAAACGCAAAGCTCGCCCTGGCCAATTTTTTTTAATGGTGCTCATGGCATCTAAATTTTTCACTGAGGGAGGGAGGGGGGAGAGACAATTTTTTTTGGGTGGTGTCCCTCGCCTCACCTCAGTTCAGTTTCCAAAATCGTTGGTATTAAGTAAATGTGCAAATTATCATTATTCAGATATTCTGTGCGCCCCCAATTATAATTTCAGGTCGCTGAGAGAAAATGAAACAATACAAATGAATTAATACTTGTTAACAAAATTTATCATAAAGTAGACAAAATAATTATACATAAATAAACAATGATATGAAACTAGAGATAATAAACAGTAATATGAATAGTAATATTAGATCATATTAAGTAAAATTTTCCTAGTTAAGAAGTGGGAGGAGTGAGAGATATTAAAACTTCCTTAGAACCTAAAGCTATCATGTGATTGTGAAACTAGTCAATGCTGATTGGAATAAAAAGAGAGATCTTATGAATTTTTGTAAATTTAAATTCCATGGAGAATTTATGAAGATGATTTAATTCTGTGTTTTAAAAGTCAAATTTCTTAAAGATGGGTTTCCTTAGTTTCATTTATGAAACTGCTAATACTTATATGAATAGAAAGCGGAGGTGTTCTAATGACTTGGAAAAATACCAATTTGTCTCACATGTCTGTAATTAATTCATAATTAGCTTAATTAGAAAGGTCAAAAAAGTCTTTTTTTGTTTATCCAGACTGTATATACATGGACATTTATGATTGATTAAAACTCTTAATTAGATCCAATATTAGAAAACAATGATATGATTAAGAATACATGATAATTCATTAGAAACACCAATTAATCAAATAGTTTGCTTAATTTGACACTAAAAAATAAGGAAACCCATCTTAAAATATCTTTTGATAAAAATTGGTTTTTAAGTCACAGCAGGCGAGTTTCAACAGTTACATTTCATAATATCTATAACAATTTATCTTGAAGCTGCTGTGAAGGCTGGTTTCAAAATACTAAGAGTTGTTAGATAATCGTTAATCCTGTTCAACACACATTTAGCCAGAGGAAGTAATCCTTACAGTGGTGTCTCTATAAATCATTACGTGAAGGGTCACAGAATTTTCAAAAGGGGGCTCACTAGCACTTCAGGCTAAGCTGGGTCTGCCTTTTTTCTCCCTCAAAGTCAAAGTCACTGATCTTTTCAAAACCAATTTCTCAAAACCAGTCCGACTTTCCAATTTTAGTTTTCACTACTTTAAGCTTTATTAGCACTATGAAATCCTGAGATAGGTGGAGGTGATGTCATGGATATACCTTGATGCCATTTCTTAATGCACTTGATTTTATTTGTGTGATATTCAAGCCTACAAGGCTGCTTTTATCACCAATTATCAGGACATCCATTAGCCCAATGACCACTTCTTCCTGAAAAAACAATTATCAGATTTTTTCAATATATTTTTTAGAATATAATGCCAGGGTGTGGGGGGCGTAGTTACGAGCCTGGGGCCGGTTTCACAAAAGAGTTACGACAGGTAGTAAGTTTGCAACCGATCGCAAGTCGTTCGTAAAACTTACGATGGATTTGACGAAATAAATACAGTCTCAACTTTGGTCGTATTTTAGGATTTAAGACCATTAGCATCGACATGTACTTCGAGATTTAAGGGGTAGAGTTGTTAATACTGCTTTAACACTGTCTTGGGAAACTGCAGAAAAAGGAAGTGAAATGAAGTATGCGTGTAATAGACTACAAAGCAGTAGCAATTACAACATGTGGCGGTCGTTCAAATCTCACATGGATTTAAAAGTGGGCCTAGGTGGGTGTGTCAAGTGCAAGTAAAAACAGTATGCCTGTCCCAGACACTCGAGTAAACATCTCCTACTGTCCTAGCTTTGCCGAAAGTAGGATATTTGAGTCTCTCAGTCTCAAATGGACAGGTCTAGGATGGAACATCTATTTTAAAATAATTGGTAAAATTGGAAGAGATGGTCTAGAGAGTTTCTTTTTACTGTCCCCACTGACGACGGACTCACACAGTAGGCTACAAAGTTTTGCCTGGACATTTTGTTTGACGTATTCTCTGCTTTGGAATCGTAGGTCTAAATAAAATGCTGCTATTACAGATATTGCCGAGATGTCCTGTCGTACCAATGTACTATAGTCCACAAGAGAATGCAAATTCACTAAAAAATTTGGTAGAATTTGACGTTCGCTTTGCTTTGACATTTCTCTTTGTCCGCCATGTTAGCACCATCGTCACAGAAACACATGACGTCACGCTGTGGTTTGCGTCTTAACCATGTCGTAACTAAGATCGTCGTACGATCGTTTTGAGCAAGTGGTTTTAAGATCGGTACTAGCTACGATCGTATATTTCTTCTACACTTAGTCGTAAAGTTGCGACGATTGTAAGCTTTGTGAAACCGGCCCCTGGCTGGCAATTTCACAAATACTAAACTATTTGTTTTTGTGTTATTATCAAATTAAGTTTTATTATCCAATAAGATTACTGTATTTCTTTATGTCTGAATTTTATCTTATTCAAGTTTTAGAGAATATCCCCTAAACTGGTAAATAAATTTAAAGTATTTTTAAAAATCTGAATTTCTGAAATAAGGCCTCAAAATAGTATTCAATCTTACCACAAGTATAGCATCTACCGTAACCTCCATAATAGGCATCAGGATCTCCTTCCACATCGCTGCTGTCATTATCACTAGAGTTAGAGATGTCACTATCAGTTACCTCCCCTGCCTCTTCCTCATCACTGATTATAATAGGTCTTCTAGATGGGGTAGTCGGGGTAGCATTGAGATTGCCCCCAGATGATCCCCCACCCCTCCTTCTAGCTCGACCACCCCGTCCCCTCCCTGCACCTGACCCTCCTGGAACCTCTGCCTTCTTTTTCTCCTGTAGTTTCTTATACTCCTCTGAAAAATTATAACAAATGGATTTCATAAGCTCATATAAAATGAAAGTTGGCTGGGAAAATTATTTTGAAATGTTAAGTTTGTTGAGAAACTCCCCTTGGATTTTCATGTTGTTTTGATCAGTGGAATGAAATCATTAGGTGAAAGGGGCAGTAGTAAGATGGGTGATGAAATTTTGGTATGTGCAATTCCCACAGAACTAATAACCAAACACTTACATTTTCATGATGTTATGATCAGTGGCGTTTTTATATATCATTAGGTGGGGGAATCCAATTGGGCCAAGAGAATTATCAAGGGGGGGTCAAAGTGGTTAATTTTTCCCTAATATTCCAATGAATATTGTAGCTCAGTCCTTATATTGTGATATGTATCGCATCATGCCATGGTTGCAATACTGCACTGGCCAGCAATTTCATAAACCACTGAAAAATCAAGACGTCAGAAATATACCGTATATTTGCACATATATGGTGCATTTTATTCACTCCATAATGTGTATGCTAAATTGAGTGTTAGATGGTGAAGAGAACATAGTCTCATGAAAGCAAAGCACTGGCCTAGGTCACAAAGTAAAGATTTATGATAAAACAAGGTGCAAGTTAAATGTTAAGATAATTAGATTGATTGAGTGTAAACCTACCTTTTCTACCATCAACCAATTCTTTACGGCTTTGTCTCAATTCATCGTCAAGTTGTTCCACCATTTTATCAATATAACTATCTAAAACTATAGACCTCATGTGAGACGTTATCGGTGAACGACATATTGGACATTCTTTTTTCACGGCCATCCACTGTTCTATACACAACGCACAGAAACTATGAGAACAGTTCAATGATGTAGACTGTAATAGAAATATGAATTCTGAATACATTTCAAAGAACACAGCCATTCAGGTTATTATCCAAATAGTTTCTTTACTAGCTGATGTAGCTTAATTAACCCTTTTTGTATCACTTTTAAGACAACAAATGGCTTGCAATGTGAAGGTTTAACGAAAATGAAATGAATGGAGTTTTACATCCTACTTTACTGAACCTTATGCCAGCATTTAACTACTCTTTGTCGAAGGATCTTTAACGTGCACAGCCTGTAGCACAGAGGGCCTTGATTTATTGTTCGAACCTGCATCACTGACAGGGAGAAACCAGGTTGAAAAATCTGAAGATATTATCTCAACCAATGCTAGAATTGAACCCTGGACCTTCAGGTTAGTGAGCAAGCATCAAACTCATTGAGTCTCTGCTGATCAATGTGGGGGATATAGCTGGCAAAAATATATCTGATCTGCTGCCTTCTATATGAGGTCTAATTTTGTTATAGAAATTTGCAAATGCAGGAATATAACCTTGATCAGCTGGTAAAACAAACATTTAACTTTTAGTGACCAAGATATTTTTTGAACGACCACTAATAACCAAATCACAGTTCCAATGATTGAGTGCCTGAGTTGTTACCTGTACAAACAGTTCACTACAAATACTACACTGTAATTCTGTTTCCATTAAGTCTTTAAAATTATTTAACACATCACCCCTAGCACATAACATAGCTTCTTTAGTTTTAATATTTTCAGCTTTCGTTTCCTCTAACTGATTTTCTAACACTTTCTGTTCTAGTTCTTTACTGTCAATCACTTTTTGTAATTTGTCACGTTGTAAAGTTAATTCATTTTCTAACTGTTTATTTTTCTGTTCAATGGCTTTTTCCATTTCCTGTTTTAAACTCTCCTCTACTTTTGCTTTCTCTGATATCAAAGTATCCTGTTGTACTCGTAACTGTTCAATTAAACTCTGTTCCTTATTTTTCAGTTGCTTTTCTAATTCATCCTGCATTTGTTGTTTTAATTCCGTCTTCTCTCTCTCCATCTCTTCCTGGAATATAAATAATATCATATTGTTAGTTGTTAGCAGACACTGGCCGTCTTCCAGAAACACTGGCAATGGCATTTACTTTTCTTACCTTGAGGTAGATGTGACCTATTGCACCCAGTGGGGTTACAGAAAGCCATTTGTCCCTCCAGGAATATAGTTTGTACCCCCACTTCTTTTATGAGAAATTTTAAAAAGTGATTTATACTCTCTTTGCCCCCAATATGAGTCAAAAAGCCCCAAAGCAATTTAATTTTTTATTTCAGAGAACCTTCTCAGATCCGCGCTTGCAGGATTGCACTTCTATGTCTGAAATTCTGTCTTAGTCTGCCCCCTATTTGTATCACCAGTTCCATGAGACTATCCCCACCACTGATTGAACTTAATATCCTAGCAGAAGACAAATCTATAGTATCTCACCTGCTGTAATTCTAAGGCTGATTTTAATTTGGCTTCTGATTCTAATTTTTCTTCTTTTTGTTTTTCTAAAGCTTTCCTCATCTCATTCTGCTCAAATTCTTTAGCCTGAAAAAATTCAAAAAATCATTGAGCAAATCTAGAATTTTCTGTGTAATGTGCAAAGTTCATGTTTGATCTGAGTACACTGTGAACAAGTTTTGTCTGACTTACCTCTAACATTTTCTTCATTGATTGTAATTTTTCTTCGTATTCTTTCCTTTTTTCCTCTTCTTGCTTTTTATATTCTTCCATTTTCTGTTCATACAGTTTATATGGTGAATTGACACTTGAAGACTCCAGGTCTGGTTGAGAACTAGACACATGGTTATCACACTCTGGAGACTTCTGGGTCAGTTTGATTCCATCAATTGAATCCTGACGAGAACGTTTATGGTTGGGCCTGTTTGATTCTTCCGATTCCTTTCTCGATCTTTTCACACGACTTGATAATGAAAACCTAAAGATGAATTCCTCTTTTTTCTCTTTATTGGTGACACCTAATTGTAGCTTGTCTCCATCATTTAAACTCACTGCTTTATCAACCTCTATTCTTTTATCATTTACAAAAATACCATTCAAACTCTGTAGAAGAAAATGCCAAAATATTGGAGCAGCCCTATTTGTGTTAAGGGGTGAATGCCGACATTCGACTGACTCTCGGAACCACTGGCATAAGCATCAGAATTTTTCTTACCTTGAGGAGGCTTCGTACTAGGGCATTTAATAGCCTAGCAGACCACAATTCAACTCACTACCAACTGAGCTATTCCACTGCCACTGGATAAGGAATAGCCAAAAGGATAGCAAACTGTTGATAGTTTTCTATAATGGCATTACCATCATTAATGCTCCTTTGAGTCATACTTCAAAAAATCAAAAATAAAGTTTTGTCCGCTAAACTACTGCATCACAATATATTCAATTTTAAAATCCTTTAGAAAAGGATTTCCATCACTAGTTACATAAGCTTACACAATACACACAAATTTCAGCCCTCAAAATGAGGCCTACTGGTCTGGTACTTTTGAAAGTAAATTACCCCTACACTCAAAGCGAAAATGAGGTATACAAGTATCATGTCAAATATAACTGACCTTGTTATCTGAAACTGTCCAAGTATTATCTGGTGATTTTCTAAAGAAAGCATGACATCTAGAAATCATTCCTGATAAAATACAATACGTCACATCAGGTGATCGACCCACTGTCACCTGCAAAATAAACATCAAAACATTCTTTCACATTTAGAAAAATTTAATGTACTTATATAAATTTCTTGTTTCGATCTCCAAAAGATCAATATCAGCTAGTTGTAGATTTTATAGGTATCTAGGCATTAAGCCTGCCCCAAAAGCAGGAGTAGTGCCTTTCCCAAGTTGTCAAAAGTTGGTTTTGGCTTAGACATTGGCATGGCAGCCTGCAGAATGCAGTGCAGAAATTTATGTAGATGTATTTGTAACTAGGCCTAGACCTACATGTAAGATATTTCAGCTTAGAAGCTTATTCAGATAAGCTTTATCTAATTTTCAATGGGCCTAATGTGGTCACTTTTCCACATGCTAATAATCTTAATGATGAATGAGCTTATAAGCTGCTACTCTTAATTAGTGCCAATACTGGGTTAGTGCATAAATAACAAACTGAAGTGAAAGTCGGAGAGGGGGGTGTATAAATTTGTGCTTGTTTTTTTCCAGATTTATATCTCTACCTCATCTTTGTCCAGTATAAAAAGTTTGTACTTTTTAACATTTTCACCTACGCGAATCAAACATGGCAGCATTTCAGTCATGATGGCATCTGTGTATTATTTGCAAATGAAATTCGACGGAAAAAGTCAAATAATTTCCATCCCGCGAATTCGTCATGTGAAATACGTCATCAATATTTGAGTAGTTTATCCCAGATTACACCGTGAGGAGCAACTTCCGGTCTTTTTACGGCCATATTTACGGTTTCACAAGCACGTGTAAGTATCTAAGGAATAAAAAGTATTTTTAGGGGTTATTTCAGCATTATTTTAGAATTTTCTTGATAGAGGAAGGTAAATTACTGTTTGTTGCTTTTTAGGGCTCGCTATTTTCAAACATCGCGTGTGGAAATTTGATGTTTTCTATGTAAATACGATGTGAAAATTTTAGATTTTGTTGTTGACATCACTGACACTGAAACAATTGCGGAATTTTTCTACTGATCTTTGGTAATTTAGGTCTTTAAAATATATTTGAGGAACTTGACATTTCGGAAAAGAATATTCAGTATAACAAGGTGTATTCCCTGTCAACTAAGCACTGTCAGTGTCAAGGCGATAATATTGGAGGGTGTTGAAGTCATATTTCTTGATTAGCCTTAGGCCTATGCTATATTACATTACAACAGCATAGAGATTATCTCAGACTATGATTTTTTTTTTGATGTAGGTCTATGATTCCTGCAATTCCACTAAAACTATGTGTTTGATCATTGATGACGTCACTAATCGATTAATATGCTTTACCAATTACCAGATAAGGCTTCAAGTGGGTTTGCAGGAACCACAGTCGTCTGATTTCAAATTGTGTTGGTGCAAATTGATGTTATCAGTGTCCCCGATATGTAGAAATTTTAGAACTATTTATAATCCCTTTAAGAAACAATTAGATCACTAGACATTGCAAGTTATGATGGATATATTAACAATTCAATGAACCTGTTAACTTTTCAGAGCCAAGATGCAGCTTTTTGTACGAGCAACCGAGACTCACACTGTTGAGGTGACAGGAGATGAAACTGTTCAAGCAGTTATGGTAGGATATTATTTGATATTGACAAAGTTTGTCTGTAATTCATATACTAGCTACTATGCAATAATTCACACCTAGCTGCTCAATCACATTCTATCATCAGAGCCCTCAACAAGATTGATAACAAGTTGGCAACATGAGTAGTTGAGGGTCATGATTGACAGCATACAACCCAATCAAAATGCTGCATTATCAAACTTCCTAGAGATGTAAGACTTCCAGAAATGAACATGGGTTGCAGATTCATTTCTTTTCTGCATAAGAAGCGTGAAACCCTTCGCAGCCTATGTTTCCCAAAAGTTCAATGGTCACTTACATTTCTGACTCCAGTAATACAAGAAAGGTAGCTATTGCAGAAAAGGTATTATCCTAAAGCTTGACATTGTGAAGATGATCTATGTGATATATAAATAGAATTTCACTATTCTGTAGAATATGGTATCCCAGAAAGAGGGATTCGATGTTGAAGATTTAATGGTATCTTATGGAGGTAAACCTTTAGAAGGGGAATTCCAACTTTCTGAACTCAATGATTTATCCACAATTGATGTGGAAGTTCGAATGGTTGGAGGTAAGTTGAACTTAATTGATTGTCTTGTTTTTATTTTATCAGATGTATTATTTGTGGCAAACAATGAAAAAAAATCTTTGCTAGAAGAATCGAAAAGAGTAAAAGTGTTCTTGGTTAGAAGGAGATATTTTTTTCAAAATAAAAGTTTTTCACCTTAGTCTTTATTATATTTTGATTACATTCTGGATTATCTGTCTTCAGGTAAAGTCCATGGTTCTCTAGCTCGAGCTGGTAAAGTCCGGGGTCAAACACCCAAGGTTAGTATTGATTGGTTATATTATAAAACTGTATTATGAGATAAAGTCCAACCTTTAATATGGATGTGTTAACTCCATTTTATGATAAAGAAACATAAATATTTTACATATAATTAAGGTTTTTTTTTTTTATTAACGTATTTGGTGTACAAAAAAAGGTCAGTAAATTTCATGTTGGGGAGAGGGGGGTTTAAAGGCAATAAAAGCCTGTTTCCCAATACTTTTCCTATATTATTATGTGATCAAAATAACGACTAGATTTCATGTGCTGTGTATATATTGTAGGTTGATAAACAAGATAAGAAAAAGAAGAAGACAGGAAGAGCTAAGAGACGATCCCAATATAACCGACGATTCTTAAACGTTGTAGAAACATTCGGTAGAAAGAGAGGTCCTAATGCCAACGCTGGCAAGTAAACTTGTAATATAATAAAGGAAAAAAATGTGATCGAATTGTTTCTTTTAACCAGTTGTGTTGCCCAGATCTTAAAAATCCTTTTGCATTAAATATTTGTGTTGACGTAGTAAACTGATCGAATTTTTCTAAAGTGCCTGCAACAAGGGGCACATCTAAATGCCTGAGGATGGGGCCCAAATTGAGAGGTGTCTTTCTCTGAGAGTGTTGGGAGCTGCCCGAGACCCCCCAGAATCCAACAAATTTCAGATCTGATATAAATTTTGAAAAATTAGAGGGCTTAGTTTTCACTTTCACATGGCCCTCTCCCTCCATAGACTGACTGCAACCAAACCTGGTATTGAACATTGGATAGATGCAAATAATAAAATATCCAGGATAAATAGACAAAAGGTTAAAGCCACAAGGCTTCTTCTAAAGCTGTGCTGTATTGTAACTAGGCTCTACATGGTGACTATCGAATGAAGAACATCTGTGACTACTGTTGGACTGTTTTGTCAACTCAGTTTATACTTTGGAATCCCCCCCCCCTCCAATAGTTCATAAAACTTGTATATTATCATTTAATAACACTTGTATTAGACATAGTTCAATAAATACACTTTTCATATGTACAATTCTTCAAAATGTCATAAAAAATGATAAATATTTGTTTAAAAATTTAAACAATCAAAGAATTGACAGCACATTTAAATTGAACAGAATATAAACTATTCAAAAGTGACCTTCTCAAATGGAGTAAACATAAAATAACTTTCAGGTGCTATATCACACTGATGTGTTATATCAATAAATAAATCGATTTCTAAGTTAGATTTCAGGGAATACTTATTTCATTTATGTTTGTGTGTGTGTCTTTTCTACTAATGACTAACTAATTTTCACATAATTAACTTATCTATTGCTCTGTGACCAAGGCCAGTGCTTTCATTGAGACTCGTCTCAATACACCCTAAAACTGATGTGAACCTTTTAATGCTTTTACGAGCCTGGTACACTCCATTAAAAAAAAAAACAGTAATATTGATTCAAAATCCTGTGAATTTGGCAAGAATTTAAAATTTATTCATTCTGCATCATATACAAATCAATTTGCAACAAAACTGGATGTTTTCCATATACAAACAGTCGAGACGTGTAAACCAGATGATGATAGTCGGGAACCTTTTACTGGGAATGGAAAATTTACTATGAAAATTGACCGTGAATCCAGTGACCTGGCATCCATACATGTAGTTACATCTGGTAGTTGAATTTTGAGAAAAAGCCAAGTTCATAAAGAAAGGGAGTTATATCCCTTTTTATTCTCGGAACCATAGAGTACTAAATTGATTAATGACTCCAATGTTGACAGAATCTCATTTCTAAGTTAAAATTCAAAAAGTCACTTATATAAATAAGAAATCTAAAAAGCTCCTTGTTGAATAAAATTCTAAAATAAATTTCTTTAAAAACTCATTGTTGAATTTTAAAATGTTATTATAAGTTTTTTCTAAATTCCAGAAGTGTGTAACTCATATGATTACACAACAAGCAACTTTTCTTAATGAAGAGAATTTAACTGGGTCTTTATCTTCGTCCTCGGAACTATCTCCATCAATAAGTTGTGCCTGATCTGTATGTTGAAACACAGTATTACCAACACTGACTGTAGGAGACGACTCAGATAATGTCTCGCTGGAAGATTTCGTCTCTTGTAAGGCTATAATTCTATCACATAAATCATAAAATGGCTGAAAAGAATACAAAAGAAATCATGAGTAGGGCCAGCCTACCAATACTAGAGGGTATAAATCAGGGGACATACTGACTAAATGTTGTAACAACTGTCTAGGCCAAATAAGGTAACTTTGTGCAGACGTCTTGTATCAAGCCTCTCATTGAGCATCTGAGAGAGATCTCTCAAGAAAATTTTGAAAAATAGAATTGATATTGTGAATTCCGACACATTTTGAGGCAAAACTGTATAAAAATCTTATTTTTTGAATTTGAAAAGTGGGGGTGCAAATTATTTTTTTACGAGAGCAAATGCCCCACCTGTACCCCACTGGTGCTGCCACTGATCATGGGACAGGCCGAATCTTGAAGCAGTTGGGAGAATCACATACTGAGTCTAAACAATGAACCAGAGCTGTCATGGCTCTGTGAGTTGAACACTTGCTCGCTAAGCTGAAGGTTCAATCGTGGCACAGGATTATTCAATCCGGTTTCCCTCTGTCAGTGATGCAGGTCAATAGCCTCATGTGCTTCAGGCTGTCTTGTTGTTGACCTGAATAGTAAATGAAATCTAATTCTGGTAATTATACCTTTTGTAAGTTTTCTCTATCTTTGGCACTTGTTTCAAAAAATTTCAGCTTTCTTTCTGCTGCAAACTGAAAAAAAAAATCTTTCATTGAAATTTCAACTGACTGATGGGCATGTCTTATCCTGTTTTTCGTGGAGAATGTGGCGTCTATATTTTTTCTACAAGTATGTTGTAATACTGTTTGTAACAAATATAGCAGATCGATCGCAGGCAGTCTCAAATTGTTTTTAATTAATTAATTTCAGTATAAGTAGAGCATGATAGCTTTAACAACGAACCTGTTGTCCCTCTATATACTGAACTTGTCTTTTCTCTTCTTGATCATGTTTATTACCCAGCACTGTTATTACTGTATCTTCTTTAGAAAACTACAATATAATAATATTACTATACTGTAATATGGTTTGTGTAGAGTAAGTCAAGTTAAAATTAGACAAAGGGGGATCTGGGTGGATTTAAAATACTAAATTGTAAAAAAGAAACCACTTCTTTAATTTGGTTGTTGTTTCCAAAATGTGGCTTGTTTCCATTATGCTAGAGTCTTGACAAGGATTTGGTTTTGGTATTGGGCCTTGAAAAACTAAAACTGCATGGAGTGGTGGTTTGATGACTCCTAGTCGTTTGGTGATGGTTGTCTTATGTCAGGTGTTCGATTGTTTTCATTAAATTTTCATATCTTTTGGTAAAATTTTCAACTTAACATCAATGATTTCCCACATCTTGATTTGATTAAAATCAAAGTATACCCAAGTAAAGAAACTTACTTGTTTGACATATGATAGCCATTTTGGTAAAGATTCAAATGTAGACCTGCTACAAATATCATAAACTAACATAACACCCTACAAATTGACAATATTAATTAGATAAATCATAGCTTATTCCAATAATATCTGATATGACACAGATTTATAGTTAAGGTAGAACATCATCACTATGGTATCATGAAAAAAAAAAAGGCGTCTGACTATTAAATCTTAGAATTGTAGGCCTAATACATTTTAAAGAAGCAAAGATGATGAGATTGTTACTCTGGGTACTTTTCTGCTGTTTGAGATCATTTTCCCTTTCACATTTTATAACAGAATTATCTTAAGGTTTAATTCAAATAAAAGAGTTTGGAATTTGTGAATGTGTCAAGTTTGCTTTACTGGAAGACAAAAAAAAAAACTATTGAATCTGCAGGAATTTGTGACTTGATGGTGCCAAATTTCTAGAGTTTTAAGGTTATAAGGAATCTGACCTGAGCTCTTCTATAAAACTGTTTAGTTATAGATTCAAACCGTTCCTGTCCAGCAGTATCCCTGAAATATAATTAGTTTCTTAATTAAAATATAATATATTTATTTAAAATTCTGTCATCTGATTCAGTTTTGAGTAAAAACGACCAAAATAGGCTGTTGCTTTTGGAGGCTCAAATCTATTGAGATGAAGTGTTTTTATTTCAATATGCCAAGACAGGAAAAATACATCTCAAAGTTCGGCCATTATTTTTCAAACAAATGCTTTGTCCTCTCACATATTTTCAATCTCTTATTCAAAAGGTAAAAAATATGATTTTAAATAATTAATATATATAGTCTCACCATATTTGAATCTTGACTGTATGTCCATCAACATTCATAGTTTTCATTTTAAAATCAATTCCTGAAATAAAATTACAGATTGTATCATCTTCAATTGGGCACATAAAACCTTGTTACTTCTTAGGCACAATCATTGCCTAATTTACCCCTCCCCCATCTCAGCCCTCCTGAGTCCTCTCCCACCCACCTTAGCCCCCACCCCCCTCTCCTCAGCACCCCCTCCATATGAATTCTCTATTATGGTATTACTATGACTTGCCTAGGGGGGTTAAACCAGGCTACTACTAGGTCTAGACAGCTAGAGTAGTGTCTTGCCAGTTGTCACCCACAAAAAAAACAACGCTGATGGGTTATTGAGTTTTAAAATAGGGAAAGAGTCCAAAATAAACCTTGTTTTAATGGATGTTATTTCAGAGAAAAAAACTGAAAAAACAAAAATAACAGGATTAGCCCCATATATTATATCAGTCACAATGAGTTAAAACAAATATAAATCATGTAGAAAAATATTTCCACCCACTTCAAGATTAACTTTTTATATGACAAATGAAAATCCATGGTAGTTTGTCAGAGATTGTGATATGGCTACTCTAATGGCCCTTGTGGTATTTGGGCAAGAGGCAACATTGCCTAAATCTAAAAAAAATCTCTAAATCTCAATTTGATTCAAAGGAACAAAACGTAATGAGGCAGGACATGTTCCGTCATCTGGAACACCTGATAAATTTTTCAATTAAGCATCCATTTCAGAGAGTTCACATAGCTAATATTGTCTTTTTGGTATATTTATGGTACATTGTTAATGATCTGTGTGATAGTGTTTAAATTTCATGATTATTGTGATACAGACCTTACTATAATCACAATATAGACTTGTTTTGTACTCGACAATTCGGGGGGGTGGGGGGGGAGCCGAGGTGGCTCAGTGAGTTAGACACTGCTAACCTGACGGTCCAGGACTGGCATGGAAAAAGCGTCTAGTCGTTCGGATGGGACAATAAGCCGAGGCTGTGTGTGCTACAGGCTGTGCACGTTAAAGATACCTCGACAGTTGGAAGTCGGAAAAGAGCAGGCTAATGTCGCTGTCCTGGCAAAATTTCCCTTGTTGCACCCTACATGGTGTTACCCATCATCATTAGCCCAAACAGGTGCACATTGTATCTGACAATCTGTGAGCTAGTATTTAAATGTAGGCTACTTACCAATAGTAGAGATATGTGTATCATAAAATTCATTGTTGGCGTATTGACAGATTAGACATGTCTTTCCAACTCCCGTATCACCAACTAATAACAATCGTAATAATACATCGTAACGTTTAGTTGACATTTTACCTAGGAACGTTTACATCTATAGGGATTGTTTACATCTATAGGGATTGTTTACATCTATAGGGATTGTTTACATCAAATCACTTTAGGCTTTACATTTCATATCTGAACTGTCATATCTCAGTTTGATTATCTACTAAGAGATATCTAATTATATCTAAAAAGAATGTTCACAATAGTTCTAAACTTCAATAATTGGTTACTTTAATACTTCAGTTTATTAGCTTCTCTAGTTGGAGGTATCCCACAATCAAATGTAGCCTTCGCACTAAATAAAATAATCTAATATTTCTTTGGCTTGACTATTTGGTTCTCCTAAATTGCTGGTTTGATAGTTGTTCCTTATTCTCAGTTATCAGCATAAATATTCATCCAAATAATCTGAAATAACAAAAATATCAGTAAGATAAAGATGTTTCTGTGTAATTTTGGGGAATTCGTTAGAATATGCACTTTTATAATGTAAATCAAGGAGATCAAAGAAAAATGTATCTCAATATGACTTGAAATATTTCTTTGAACAAATTTAATACTTAGTTTAGCTTTCTATATAAATAGATTTAACGCCTCAATAGAGTTGAATTCACTTCAATATTTGTTCCTTATACAAATTTAAAAGAGAAATCATTCATACGAAATGAAAAATCCAATTCTTTACATGTATCATTTAAGACTGTATCTAATGTAAAATCATAGATCACTTTTCTACAACAATATGTAAAACAATTCTCCAATGTGTCCATGGCCAGTTCTATTGGTGGTTTCACATGTGATAAGCCTACTTCCTTGACAACAAAAACAATACATTTTCCTCAGATCACTAGATTTTCCTAACATGTCGCTTGTCCTCTAGAAGTTTTATACAAGAAATACACTCCTTAAATACTTCAGGAAATAAAGAGTTTACCACTATATTGGGTTTGTGGACTCATAGTCAATAGCTGAATGGAAGTAATTTCTTATAATATCAAATGATATCTCATGTTTTTTTGTTATATAACAACAATTTGATAAAGGAACAAATGTGTCACACTCAAACATTTTGGAGCTACTATGACTGGCAAATTCCAAAGATCAACAGCCCTGGTGAGGTAATAACATGCAAGAAAAATAAAATTTATAATTATTATAACATAGGTCAATCAGGTGCAAAAAATGAAATGAATTGACATTTATACTACTCTTCTAATTGGGCTGAGCAACACCACACAGTGTGCACTAAGCAAAACTTTGCCAGGACAGCTGCAAATTAGACTGCTCTTTTTCAATTTCCTGCTGTCAAGGGATCTATAATGACACAGCCTGATAGCACCCCAAACAGATGTAGAAAAGTAGACATCAAACTCTGGTAGAGGACATAATATGTTAAAACTTCTATATAGAGATATATTACACCTTATATTTGACATTTAAAATGTCCCCCATTAACATAATTTACAGCTCATATCAGTGGCGGAGCCAAAGGGGGGGGAGGAGAGGGGGCAGCCACCCCCCTTGCAGCCCCGACAGCAAGTGTTTTGGGCAAAAATCTCATGATTAGGTTAGAGATTCAGGCAATCTCAGATATCTCTCCCCCTCTCAGACATAATCCTGGCTCCACCACTGGTTCATATAAGTACTTAATACCAATTTTTTGACCCAAGCCAGTGCTTCTATAAGAGAGTATCTCTTATAAAACCTCATACTAATTTAATTATCAGAAACATTATAACAATATTTAGTTTATTACCTCATTAAAATTATGTAGGATACTAGTGAGTGTAAGAACAGGAGAATCAAGAGTAATGTGTTATATGAAAGGAAATCTGTTTAAAAGATTTAAAGTATCATTGCCTGCAATATTTTAAAACCAAGAAAGGAAAAGATTTGACAACTTAAAGATTAAATGTTTTGAGACAGCCTCCATGAAAGCATTGGCCCAGGTTACAGTCAGTGGATTTAATAAGAGTTACAAGGAATTGTATCATCTATTATTAAAGTAGCAGAACCTGCAATCAGTTTAAATCAGGAAAAGCTAAAACTTAACCAAAGGATGGAAGAAACTCACAAAAGTCAATCTTTACCAAATCTACTTCTTACCAACACCCTAAAGTCTTCAAACCAAAATGACCTTGTCTTGCTGAGAGCTATCAATTTAGTTTTTCAGTAAAAATGGTAAATTTTTTCAGTATTGGATTTCTAGGCAATCCGCCTTTAAGATGCAACATATAAAGTTAGATTTCATCAACAATAAATTTGAACAAAGGTTGAATATTAACCAACTCAAAACACTGAGATAGCATTTTATTACTGTCACAAGACAGTGGTAAAATATTTGTATTGTAATATATAGGCTCTGAACTAAAATATAAAATACATTTCCCTCATTGCACACTGCATGGTGTTACTCATTTTCATTAGCCAAAACAGTTACAGGAAAGTATGTAATATAAATTTAAAAAATGTACTGCAAAAATCCATATTCAAAATAACAGTTTGTTAATCACCTTCCTTAAGCAACAGTACGATTATTCACATCTAACATCAATAATAAACAGAAACGTCTCCCTTTAAATTGTCATCTGTGTAGGTGGGTAGAATTAAATGTTACAAATAAGACCCGGATACATTTACTAGCACAATATGGAAAATCAGAATTTAGAGATATGCCGACATGCTTGATAATTTCCAGTCCAGACAGTGATCTCAGTCGCAAATTAACATAACATGTTTTAATTGAATAATGAAATTAACAAACCTCTGTAATTTTATCCAACATATGCCTTTTTATTGAATTTTGGGTGGCGGTTTTCCAGATTAGCTAGTCCCTGTTGATGTAATCGTGAAACTATCGATCGTCTGATAGAACAGCACAGTGAAATAAAACCCGATCTTCTCCTTGTGTTATTTTTTAGTTTTATCCAATATTTATATAGTCGAGTTTCTACAAGGGAAAAGGTATGTAAATAAACCTTACATAAAGTGAAATACCAAATACAGAGAAAAGTTCACGTAAGATGTACTCACTAATTAACTGTGACAAATTTACTGGTGAATATCACTGATAATGCCCACCTGTGCTCTCCTGTACCTGTGAATATCACTGATATTGCCCACTTACGGTTATATCTATGGTGAATGTTGTTCACTTCTATTCCAAATTGTTGTTGAATATAATTATTCCTTACTTCCGTATTAATTGATCACTTATGAAAAAAAAACAGTGCTGATGCAAACTTCCGATATATCCCACTGGGAAGTATTTCTGATGGTGCCTAGTCATCTGCTATAGTATGTGACACTGATATTGACCAAATAACTGTTGAATATTGCACTCTGCTTTTAAAATTACTGATATTGCCCACGTTAAAGTCTCATATACCAGTGAATATCATTAATATTGCCCACTCGTGCTCTCCAGATTCCAGTAAATATCGTTGATAATGCTCGCTTGCTCTGAGCTTTCATTTACCAGTGAATATCAGTGATATTGCCTGTTAAATTGATAACTCGACTTATAAAAATGAATAATATCCGTTATGTCACCGTGATTTTACAGCTAGTAGAATTCGGAAATAATCGATGACAAGCTTCCTTTCACAAGTAAGACAATTTAAAGATAAATTCACATCCTTCTGAATAAACGAACTAACTTGCCGGTCAAGAAATGTCTCTCTCATGGTTTCAAATCATTTTTTAAAAGTGTCATGTGTATAGAAACTCCGTTGCTTCAGGCGTTTAGGTCGTATTATAATAATATAAACAGTAAACCGGCTTGTTTTGTTTTTAATGGCTTAGTCGATTATAATTAACGTTAATTTCTTAATTAATCACAATCGGTTTAAATTAAATTAACATGAACAATAGATCCCACAGGTTCTTAATCCCACTAATAAACTGTCTTGGCCAGTGCTTCTATAGGAGAATATATTCTATAACACCTAAGGCTATTTGAATTAGCCGAAATGCGTTAGGACCTGTTACCTTTAAAATAACATTTTAAAGCCATTTTAGCATTATTATTTTAGGCAAGTATTTTTGTGACAGGTGGACAATTTACTCATATGGCAGTTTTTTATCCGGTATGTTAGGTGTAACCAATTGCATATTTTTTCAGGAAGGTTAAAAAAGAAAAAAATTATAGGTTACAAGCACAGAAATACTAATTATTCTAGACCATAGCTATCCCGATTTTTATTGTGTTTAGATGGCTGGTCGACGAATACATTCACCTTTAACAAGTGGTGCGGCAAGTTGGTAAATTACATTCGCCGAGCTGTAGGTGAAATTCCATTAAAGACAATCGAGACTATCAACGCCCACATCATGACTTCTGAAGTTGATTTTCGCTTCACTTTGAAGTGGATTTTATGAAATATTACCGATGGAAATTATCTTTAAACCGCAATTTTCTCCATCGTGTGTCAAAAAGTGATGTTATTGTAACTAAATTGGGACTATTTGAAGAATTTTGAGCGACAAATTTCACGTCAAAAGGAGAAAACTTCAATGCAGTTTTTATAAAGCATTGAAAATCAGCTACCAGACATCTAGGTTAGTATAACACGGCCTTGACCTATATATTGAAGTCATGCGTATGACTTATCAAGAATTATAAAGTTTTTCTTAATCATGTAATTAACTTAGCATCCTTTCGTCAGGTACATAAGTCGGACAAACCAAAATGCTGACTAAAAAGGGAACTTTGTCGCTAGCTTCAAAACCCTGGCGAGAAACAGTGCAATGTTTTCTAAAACAACATTTATCAACAAACAGTTGCAGTGGTGGAGTAAACAACACAAATGTGAATGAAAAAGTGATGAAAACATTGTTTTTGAGGGGAAGATTTTGTTTAAATGAAAATTTTCCAACTGTATCTGTGTGTAGAAATAGATGTATTACTATTAGAAGTACCAGTACAGCAACGAAACCAGTGATTAATTGTGAACCAATAGCTCAGGTAGGTCAAATATGTACATGTTACATAGTAACCCTGTACATGCCTGTGCCTGTGCTTCCGTAACTTTATTTAACTGCAATGTTACAACCAAAAATTCTGACCGTCTACTAACGTTCCTGTCGCTAATTTGTCTGCGTGGTGCAGACAAGATTAATACGGTAGTCAATTTGCTCACTAGGCTACAGGGGGTTGAAATCGACCAAATTTGCACTTCATGCTATGAAAATCAACACTAGGCCCTAGCTGGACTCCTTCCATTCTGATTACGATTATCAGAATGGAAGGAAGGAAATATCTGGAATCCTTTTCGTGGCTGTTTTCTATAGAACTATTATTTTCACAGAACAAATTTTGAAACACTGGTAGTTAAGTTATTTTATACAGCTAGATTTAATATTCTGTAACTTACAATATAAATTTGATGTAAGCATAGCTCTCCTTTCTTTCCAAACCTTAATCCAGTTCTTTATTCATACATGTCTCATCATGTATCGCATCTTCATGAAATAACTCTGATTATCATAGTAGTTTAATATCCGTTTATTTTCAGGTAGAATCAAGTAGATTTAAAAATGAAGAAGTCCGTCCATTTTCAGACTTTTTAACTGATTCATTCCAGCGCCAACATACCTATCTACGAATATCACTTACAGAACGGTGCAATTTAAGATGTAAGTATATCAAAAAACTAATGAATGGTAACAATGTTTCAGCATTATTTCATAACTGCTTTATTCAATTTTAAAGAGGTTTTAACAAGGTTTTCCAAACTTTTTTAATGTATCCGGGACACTGATAGCATCAATTAGCACCATTACAATTTTCAACCAGACGTCTATGTTTCCTTCAATTCCACCAAAACTGTTACGTCAATAAAGCAAGGGCCCTTAGATATTATTATCAGTTTTTGTGACAGTGACATCTAAAAATGCTTAATATTAGAATGACAAGAACCACAGACGTCTGATTGAAAATCAGAAATTGCAAATCAATGCTATTTGTGTCTCTTACAATCCTCATTCAGCCTTTACCCTTTTGAAATCCAAAATTGACAAGGATATTGTTTGTTAATATTGTTGTTTATTGTTTATTCATATTGTAGGTCAGTATTGTATGCCAGAAAATGGAGTTGATTTATCTCCTAAAACTGACTTGTTATCTACAAAAGAAATCCTAAATTTATCAAAGTTGTTTGTGAAAGAAGGAATTACTAAAATCAGATTAACTGGGGGTGAACCATTAGTTCGTAAAGATCTGGTGGAAATTATAGGTAAGATGGTTCGAAAAAAGAGGAAGAAAATAGAAAAGACCTTCAAACTTAGGTTCAAGAGGAACTTTTCTACCAACATGTCCTTAATGTCCAATTTTTAGCCAATTTAGTTGTTTTAATATAAGCTAACCAATCAAAAACACCATTAGAAGTGGTAAGACAATACAAGTCAATATCTCAGAAGGAAATCCTTTATTGATTAGAGAATTTGATTGGTTGAATAATAATTGACATTGTACAGGAGATGCATAACAATATAGTCAGATCGTGGATGGCAGCTGAATTCACCCATAGAAAAAGCATGAAACAAAATGATATGCATTTCAATCAAACTATAATGTTAGGGAAATAAACCAACAATAATGTTTGCTATTGCAGAAGGTTTAAATGAGTTGAAACCAATGGGACTAGAAGCTATAGGAATAACAACTAATGGTGTCACATTATCTCGGAAACTACCTCAGTTAAAACAAGCTGGTCTAGATCAAATTAATATCAGTCTAGATACCTTGGTGCCTCAGAAGTTTGAGTTTGTTACTAGAAGGAAGGGGTATGATAAGGTTTTAAGGTCTATCCACTCTTCCATAGAACATGGCTTCCAACCTGTCAAAGTAAGTATGTATTTGAAACTTCGCACCTGATCTAGTTACCAGAATAAGAACACGAATTTAGTTCATGTCCATGTTAAAGGCGTTACTCAAACAGAACACAATCATGATGTTCCAATGTAAAATATTGAAATGAAAGTCTCATCCTCATCAATTGAGCTGTTTTTTACCAAGGTTTCAACCTGTTTGTCTTTTAAAACAAAATCTGAAACTCACAAAGTGACTTGAATGAAATTGACAGCATCATGAAACTTATCTTCATGGTGGCTGCCATCTTGAAAAATAGCAGACTATTTTGTCATTTGGTGGTTCAAATTTACACATGCAGGTTTTCAGGTTTTATGGACCGTAAAATACATAAAAAAAATACATTTGCAAGTGAATTGGAGGCTTTTTTTTTTTGTGGTCGAAGGGAGATAACTGATAATAATTTTATTTCAGATTAATTGTGTTGTAATGAGGGGGTTGAATGAAGATGAAATTTGTGATTTTGTTCAGTTTACACAAGATAATGTAAGTAGATATATATTCTATTTTGATCCTCATTCTGCCTTACTCTATTTCAATTAATGAACTTTTTTCCCTACAGTGGACTTGCTTATTACTTTGAATGATATAACCAGGTATGTTTCATAGGTTTTTGGATGTTCTCTGATACAAAGTATGTTATTTTCTGTAGTAAATAGTGTGGCATGTAATTAGAAATAGGCTCATTTTGACATGAGAAAACTATTGTACTGTTGGATTATCTAAAAAGTTCTCCCCCGACAGCAGACTAGCTAATAAACTGGCTTATAAGCAAAATATTTTTTGAAAATGTTTAATCATCCATTTTGTTAAAATAAAAAAATGTAGCTTATAGGTGTATAATATATATTTATTCTATTATTTTTTTACCTAGAATGTTGATATTAGATTTATAGAGTACATGCCATTTGGCGGCAATAAATGGAATTCCCAAAAAATGGTGACCTATCAACAGATGTTAGATATTATCCAATCAAAATGGCCCGATTTCTCCAAATTAAAAGATAAAGATAACGATACTTCTAAGGTTTGAAAATTTCAATTTTAATTTCTTCTGAAATCTTTTCATAAAAAGTTGTCAAAACGCTATTTTTTGATATAACTGGGATGGCGCAGTATTGTTGAGTTTTAAACAGGTTCCATCCATTCCAAGTCTAGGTGTCAATTAAATAGAACCAAAAAATGACCCCTCTATATTTTTTGAAAATATATTTTAGGCCTACAAGGTACCAGGGTTCAAAGGTCAAGTTGGTTTTATAACCTCAATGAGTGAACATTTCTGTGGTAGTTGTAATAGACTGAGAATTACTGCTGATGGAAATCTCAAGGTAGGATTCAAGGGATGTGGTTTTCTATTTTTTGCTTGATCTATTTTATAGCAATAGGTGTGTTTACACAATGTAGGTCTGTTTTCATGCTGTAGATTTGTTTACTTAAATATATTTATATACATCTTTATTTACATGTTGTAGGTCGTCTTGGTTAGGTTTGTTTACATTCTAGAAATGTTTACACGCTATAGATTTTTTTGCATATTTTAGGTTTGTTTACATGCTACAGATTTGTTGATACATTCTAGGTTTGTGCACATGTTATAGGTTTGATTACATATTCTAGGTTTGTCTATATGTTAAAGGTTTGTTTACATGTTATAGATGTGTTTACATATTCTAGGTTTGTTTACATGGTAATGCCGAAGTATCATTAAGAGATGCTATGAGAAATGATTTACCACAAGAAGAAATGTTAGAAATTATTGGTGCTGCTGTTAAACGCAAGAAGAAACAACATGCTGGTATTTATTAGGAATTAAATTGAATCTCTAAATCACCTTGTTCACAATATCACTTAGCCATATAGTTCACAGTCTTTCTGTCGAGGTTTTGAGTGGCTGTATTTGCTAGTGTACAATGTAATCAAATTGCTGCATTTTCTAATTAGCCTTATACAAGAAAATTGCAATGTAAATAGATGGAGTTTGTGGGAGTTAGACACTGTGAAGATGCTAAATCACTGACAATAGTATTACTATCCCTAGACAAATTCGACCAGCCTTTAAACTAGAGATCACTTGATTGTAATGCACAACTGTATGTCTTTGTTTCTCTTTTGTTCTGCTGTGACTTCAGGTAGAAACCTACAGAGAAAAAAGGAAACAATCATTTGAATCTGCATTTTAATCGTATTAATAATTTTGGCACTTTTTTATCAACTTCATTTTTTATGGCTTTTTAACTCTACTTTTATATTATACAAAAGTATTTAGAAATATACAATGTAAATTAACTCCCCTTGTATTTCAGGTATGTTGAATTTATCGAAGATGCCCAATCGTCCAATGATTTTAATCGGTGGGTGATCAACTTTTAAACTTTTACATGTATGTAAATTATTTACTTATCAAAATAACAAAAAAAATCTCACTGTTCAAATAGAGATCAATATATCAATTGTATAGTGATATAGAATATTAAAAGAGAACCTGAAACATGTTGTTACTTAGAGTTTCACACTATGTGATCTTCAGACAACTACCAGTATATATCTCATGGTCAAATTTTGCGTTAAAGAGTTTTTTTGCATATTTTAAATACATCAAGTCTTAATTAATAGCTTGTGGAAATTTTTGAGAAATTTTGTGCTATTTTATTTTTCAGATAAGGGAATGGATGTTTTTAATGATTTTGTTAATTCTTCAAATAATATTAAGATGTTAAAGAGAAAATCTGTGATAAATTCACCATGTTTAAATGATTTTAGAAGTGTTAATCATAAAACTCTATCATATTGTGCCTTTAATGCACCTTTTCTATGTAGAAATTCCAGTGCTTTAAGTTTGTCTTTGAGAAATTTTTGTACAGACTCTTCTAATGGTGCTGGGTTGCCATATTGGGAATTGGAAAGACGTCAGCGTTTAGCAGAAGAAAATACAGAAGTGTTGGAAAAGGGAGATAATTTGCAATCTTCAAATGAAGAACAATCTTTAACTCATACGGATGTGGATGGAAAGGCCAATATGGTTGATGTTGGAATGAAACAAGAATCACATAGAATTGCATGTGCATCCGGTACCGTTTATTTAGGTCAAACAGCATTCCAGTTACTCAAAGACAATAAATTGAAAAAAGGTGATGTGCTGACCGTAGCGCAAATCGCAGGAATAATGGCAGCTAAGAAAACATCAGAGTTAATTCCCTTATGTCATAATATCAATCTATCAAAAATCAATATTAAATTTGAATTGAATGAAAATGAAAGTAGCGTCCATATTGAATCAGTAGTTAAAACTCAAGGTAAAACTGGTGTAGAAATGGAAGCCTTGACAGCCGTGTCTGTTACAGCGCTAACTATTTATGATATGTGTAAAGCCGTCAGTAAAGCTATTGTTATCAGGGATATTAAATTATTATCAAAATCAGGCGGGAAATCGGGTGATTATAATATTAGTCAGTTAAATAAATGAATTAGAATTGTAACAGAAATGTATTTGGACGCCATATTGTATGCCATCTTAAAGGCCGGTTTTACTCTGCTACTCTTACTACTCAGAAATAGACGAAACAAACTGGCGTTGGCAGATTTGTCTTGAAATTGCAAAGCTAAGCGTTGGGTAGCGATGATTGTATCATCATGGTTTTACCAAAAACAATACTTGGCACCCATATTGGACCCCATATTAATACCTAAAATATTTGTTTCTTCACAGAAGCATTTTACCAAAAATATAATTGGCAGCCATTTTGGACGCCATATTGGATGCCATCTTGTTACAGAAAATATATGAGTTTTTATATGACAAATGTAATCAGAATTATATTTGGTGGCCATCTTTGATTATGGAAAAAAGGTCCATTTTGGGTGACATAGGGGGTACTCCTCTCATCTGATATTAGCACCCTCAATTGTGACCACGTAAACTCCTCTTAACCTCTTAGAGGTTTTTCTTCCACATATTATATAGCCATTCGGCAAAAACTTTTCAGTTTAGAGGTGATGTTGGTTTACAATGGACGCAATAAGCAGGGTTTCACTGCACATGTATTTAGGTTTAAGTCCATCATTGTGGCTCTACTGGAACGAAATATTTGATAAGTTGAAATTCATTTGGCTATCCGAATCTGTCTCGGTAATGAATGGTGAATTCTGTTATGTCTTCTTGGGCTTCTGCGAGGTTCTATACCTCTAAGTTATCATTTGATAGGTTGAAATTATGAACATGTCCATCTTGTATATGTCTTCATATCATAGCATGAATGAAATTATAGAAAATATATGAAAGAAATGACATGTTATATTATTATAGTATTTGATTGTTAACTGCCTAATGCCAGTACATGTGTATCTAGAAATTTTTGCAAACTTTTTAAGGCTAATAAACTGATAATCTGTTTCTGTTAATTTTGTTATATAAAATCTTTATAATTGTATGTAGTATTTAATTAAAAAAATTACTAATTGTTATTCTTTTATTTCATTTTTTAATGTATATCATTTCCTACATTGTGGTTTCATTTGAATAATACTAGATATAGTTGAACAAAGTATTTTTTGCACATTCAATTCAAAACATACACAAGAGCAGGCCACTTTAAATTTGGGTAGAATCTTTGAATCTTTGAATAAATTGAATCTAATCAAGCTAGGTTTAATCAGTTTATTACTACCTACACTACCTAAAGATAAAGTGAACTATTCATACCCTGAGGATCGCCAAAATTAGTCTTTACTTATCATTGGACCTGATATCATAACTATACGACATAATTCCTGTATAATCCAATAAATCTATTAAACTTAGTAATTTAAGAACCCGCTTAAAAGCGTTTTTATACGCCCACATAAGTCCGAATTTGGCTATCTTTCTAAAACGGTTTTTGAGTTATTGCCCTTGACTTGGGAAAAATGCGTCAAAATTTGTTTGTGAACACACAATAGAGACCACAATTTTCATCCGATTTAAATGAAATTTGGTGTGATCAATTATAATGATGAGATCTTAGACTCAGTTCTAATTTGACGATCTTTCGATGAACGATTTCGAGTTATTGCCCTTGATTGATGAAAAACGCGTCAAAATCTGTTTGTGAACACAATAGAGAGTACAGTTTTCATCCGATTTAAATGAAATTTTTGGTATGATTTGACACAGATAGATGTCTGCCCTTGATATACTGAAAATGTATCAGGAAAATGGGCGTATCTTGGTAGGCAACCACTTGTTCAATGATAAGAACATAATGACATGGATAAGAATACATGATAATTCATTAAAAACACCAATTAATCAAATGGTTTGCTTAATTTTGAACTAAAATATAAGGAAATCCACCTTTAAATAACCTTTCAGCAGTTATAGTGTTCAAAACATAATATTGATATCTTTACAGGTAGTGTCCCTTTAAAATAACCAAAATAAAGTAGACTATTATACATTACACAATCTACTATATAATATATTAACCAGGTCTGACCTTTCTGTACTGGAAATATAAACAATCAATTTACGTGTTTGGTTGTCATGTTAAGAGATCTATGAAAGAATTTTGTATTGTGAATCATAATTAGCTCACATCTTCAGGTTTTAAAGACGTAGTATATCCATACAGTTTGATCAAAACGGGTACTTTGGTACAGAGGTGCTATGGACACTGTAGATACAGATTTGGTAGCAGTGGCGGCGCCAGCCTCTCAAATAGGGGGTAGACTTGTCAATTGTCGAAGTTGAGATTCAAAATGCGGAAGCTCTGTGGACAGGCCTCCCACTGAGCGTCCTAGCTAGTTGTCCCCAAAGAAAACTTTAAAAAAAAAAAGAATTGATAAGGTGCATTCTGACAATATTTTGACACTGTTTTGCACATTTGCAAATTAATATAAATCCTTTTTCCTTAAACTCTTCTCCAGCATTAGCCTTTGATTAACGGAATTGTCTTGCTTGTACGGATTTTCTATTAGCCCCTTTCTGTACTTAGATAAAATGTAATAAAGAATTTAATTTTCATCTTAGAATTTTACAAGAGGGAGCAAATTGCTGGCGTTTGATGATAGCATAATACGTGTAGTCGAAATAACCATCATCAGCAAGTCAGCTCTACATCTCCTTGCAGATTTTGCTTATATGCTAAAATGTCTGTAAAAATTGCTTAAGCACTAGAAACTTTCCACGCTTCGCATATTCATGGCGATTTTCTGAAATTCAGTTCTGTATCGCATCCCATTGCAGCACTAGTAGCTTTGTATAGTGGAAGTGGTAAATCTTCACGAAATTTTGCCCATTGTAGCTTTAATTGTGAAGCCTGTACAGTGACACGAGAAGTTTATGGTCTGGTTTAATCACAACCTACTGATATCCTTCACATTTTATAAGACTCAGATACTAAGAACGCCACATTTCTCTTGGTTACCAACAAGTTACATTGGAGCAAGAAACACCCACCTGACAATCACATTGGAACAAGACGTTTACCTCAGTGTAACTAAAAACTTTTAAAATGGTTTTCTCGGACGTTACCCTGCTCACAAAAATCTCAGCCTTCCTGGTTTTATCTGCTGTAGTTTTGGATATCGTCTCTCTTGCGACTCCACATTGGGAAAATGGAACTTTATTTGACAGTGGTTTGTGGGAGATCTGTAAAGAGGCTTTATCTGTCCGGAGTTGTTCTTCTATACCAGAAGGTAAGTTCATAAAACACTTATAGTTAGACTAGCGGCGCCAACCTCTCGAGATAGTGGGTACAAATAAGGGACGGACTGACCTAATGGAGGGGGGAGGGACAACATTGTCGAGGTTGAAATTCAAAATGTGGTAGATCTGTAGATTAATTATGTAAGTTAGGAAAGCACTGTCGGATGGGAGTTGAATTTTCGTCTGGAGAATCTCTCTGAAGGCAAATAGGGCTCACAGGATTTCTTTCTCGGTGTAAAAAACAAAGAAAATCGAGCCAGCCTTAGTTCTGGAAGGGGAATGCCCATTGCTTCGACAATAAAGAGCAGTGGTATCAGCTTATCTTACTATTTTCAACAGCAGAATATATTTGCAGACGATACAAGTTCGTCTTCGGATCTCTGATACTCGTCCGACCCAAAACAATATACTCAATTGAGTTGGGCTCATCATGAACCCATTATGAACATTTGACTTGACCCTAGGAAAGCTTGACAACTCTAGCCCTTCTCAGTTCCTCACAATTCATTACATCACGTCTAAGAATAAAAATCCGTACAAGCAAGACAATTCTGTTTATCAAAATCTCGTCCAAATGCATGGCAAGATCAAGAGTGAAAATATTATAGTAGTGGACGTACCATGAGTGTGACCAGAGTTGTCGGACTGTACGTTATTTCAAATTTCAGTTTAGTAGAGCCGTTTTCTTAACACAAAACTGTTATATTTTTCAGATGTAATAAGCGACAAGTTTCAGACAGTAAGAGCCTTTGTTATAATAGGATGTATTCTGGGTCTTCTAACATTCCTCTTACTGATTATGTTCATCTTTAAACATACAGCCAATCGGGTCAAGAATGTTGTTATTCTTTTAGCTGGTTTAGCAGGTAAGATTAATGTCATTTCAAGATCGCATTTCACGTAATTGTTTTTAGGTTTATTATAGACAGGTCTAGAGATTAAAAAACAATCGTCACTTTTAAATATTAAAGACGGGTTTCCTTACTTTTTAGTGTCAAATTAAGCAAACTATTTGATTAATTGGTGTTTCTTATGAATTATCATGTATTCTTAATCATATCATTAAGTTCTTATTGCATTTATCGTAAATGTCCATGAATGTACAGTCTGGATAAACAAGAAAGACTTTTTGACTATTCTTGATCCGTCACTCATTGGAATTCTCTTCTAATTTAGCTAATTATGAAGTAATTATGGAGATGTGAGACAAACTGGTATTTTTCCAAGTCATTAGAACACCCCTTCTTTCTATTCATATAAGTATTAGCATTTTAATTTTCAAAAATGAAACTAAGGGAACCCATCTTTAAGTCGTCGTTTAAATCTTTGCTTTACCAGTCGATAGGTCTCAGCTACCAGTATTACTTTAAAGAATAAAAAAAACAGTCTCCAAGTTTCTGTTGAATTGTATAAGAACTGGTTGTCACTTCTATACTGAAATAGCTGAAATTGACTCTATCATTTATTAGACTACATTCCACTAATTTTACAATAGTTGGAAGAGGATCATAGAAGATTTTCTAGCGCAAAGGGAAAACTGTGTCCGACGTTTGTAGTTGGTAAGAATCGAATGATATATTGGGTCAGATATACTAATAGAAACTTAAATTAGTGTTCTCAATATTATGCAAAGGCTGGAAAAGCTTGTTTGTATTCAAGATTTCGGGTCAAAGACATGGTGCTCACTGGGCAGACTAACGAATCATTATTATTATCATTTTTTATATGTTTCAGGTATCTGTACGTTGATAGGATTCTGTGTGTATACATCACTCGCCGATTCTTATGGATACTCCTTTATACTGAACGTGGTAGCAGGTGCCCTTTATTTTGTAGTAACCATTATAATGGCTCTGGATCAAAGGACATGTTAACGACGTCTACTGATACTCGATTACACGACACTTTGACGTGATATAACACATCCTGTGAACATCCGACCTCGTTTTGTTTAAGAAAGTGTCTATTTGTTGAATGCACACAATTAGCAATATGAGAACCATGAAACCCATTAGTTAGTCAGATTGTGACAAACCATGAAACCTTTTAGTTAGTCAGATTGTGACAAACCATGAAACCTGTTAGTTAGTCAGATTGTGACAAACCATGAAACCTTTTAGTTAGTCAGATTGTGACAAACCATGAAACCTGTTAGTCAGATTGTGACAAACCATGAAACCTAGTAGTTCGTTAGATTCTGACAAACCTTGAACCTAATGATTAGTCAGATTGTAACAAACCATGAAACCCATTAGTTAGTCAGATTGTGACAAACCGTGAACCTAATGGTTAGTCAGATTGTAACAAACCATGAAACATATTAGTTAGTCAGATTGTGACAAACCATGAAACATATTAGTCAGATTGTGACAAACCATGAAACATATTAGTCAGATTGTGACAAACCATCGAACATATTAGTTAGTCAGTTTGAAGGATAATGTATTTCCCATCTTAACAATGTCAAGCTATTACGAACTTCGTTTCATACCTAATGCAGCGATTTGATTGGATTACTCTAGAGAAGCCATTCTACAATGATTACAGACTTTCTGACGAGGCCTCTGATAGGCTGTATATATGCTAAGGTACTATCCAATCAAAGCGCCGCATTTACAAACTTCCGTGACGCAAGAAAGTTCGTAAGAGCTTCTGTAAAGATTCGATTACCGGTTTAGAATCAAAATGCTAATATTTAATTTTTATAGGCCTATATTTTTATAATTTGTATATTTTAAGATTTATTTTGTATACTAACTGTATAGTGAGTGCTTTTATTATAATTTATATAGATTGAACTATGTAATAAAGTTATTCAATAATATTGCAATGTTTTGATGCCAACAAAAATATTGACGAAATAATGCATATCTGTATGTTCTTTTGATATTGCTTTTCGATAGCAGCGACATCCCCGTCCCCGACTACATCAAAGGACTGCACGCTGCATCGCTGCTCCAGATTGCACATGGGTTGTGACGAAACCAGTCCAACTACCAACATATTTGAACAGAACTGAAGAAGAAAAATTAGATCTTACTCTTATAAATGGAATGTAAACGAACACCACATTGGCAGTAAGGTGGGCTCAATTGCCTTCTGATTCTAAACAATTTTGCAGAACAAAAAGCAAATTTAGGCTATCCAGATTATATTCATAAAACGGAAAATTTGGATTTTATGAATATCAAATGATTTTTTTCTGAACGAGGATAAGGTGAATTTAGGTAAATGAAAAATAATTAATCAAACTATTTAATTGAAAATAAAAACCAGGAAGAGTTCCTTTTTCAACTCGCAAGTCGTACGAGCATAGTTATTGATTGTTTCGATGTACTGACTGACTAGAGTATTTGATATATTAAATGGATTGTAAAGATGTTTTCTAATCTTTTATGTGTATCTGGCACACTAAGAGCATCAATTTGCACCATTCCAATTTTCAGTCAGACGCCTGTGGTGCTTGCAATACCACTAAAACTAAGTTATATGGTGAAGAAAGCCTCTTTGATGTTATTCGCAGCCTTTGTGATAATGACTTCATCAAACGCCTGGTTTTAAAGGATCCACAGACGTCTGACAGAACATTGGAATGGTGAAAATCTATGGTATCTGCGTCTCCGATACACATGAAAAGTTAAGAAAAACTATTTTCAACCAATCCCATTAACGTAGTATGTATAAATCAGTCATTTTATCTGACAGGTCAACGACCTTCTCCTATCATGTGATCATACCCAATTCTGCGTCGAAATATTTCTTCAACTAAAGGTCTCCAATAACAAGCTAACGTGGACGATAACATTTGAACTTTTATAAAATTATCAATATAGATAACTAAACCGTTATCTCACAAATACTTGATATGTATATATTATACTTATTACAGAATACCTGTATATAAAACTCCATAATGATAACATAGTTATAAGTGCACTATATCTTAAAGGTACGTTCTCTAAAATTTCGGGGCATGTTAAAGATGCAGACAGTTTGAAATCGAAAAAGAGCAGGCTAATGCCACTGTCCTGGCAAAATTTCCCTCATTGTACCCTGCATGGCGTTGCCTGTCATCATTAGACCACATGGTGCGTAAAACTTCATTCATTTCATTTCATTTCTAAAATTTCGGGTACAAACGTAATGTAATTTTAAATGATATATAGGTCCTCGTAGAAAGGGATATAAAATCCTGATTCGTTACAGAAATAAAGTACCGGTTGATAGAACTTTAAGGTATGCTATATCTTAAAGGGATGATCTCTAAAATTTCGGGTAAATAGGTCATGTAATTAATGAGGGCCTATTGACTGGTAGTTTACCTAAAGGGGTATGACCGCCATATTCTTTACTATATTGAGCTATCGGTTGATAGGTATAATATCAATATTTGAAAGGGATGTTGTCTAAAAGAGGTGACGTAACTTTAAATGATATTGGTCTTTAATAGGGCCTACTAGCCTAATTTTTTACTGGCATAAGCAGTTGATAGAACGGTCGTTAGGTACCCATATCTAAAAGGGATGTTGCTTAAATTTTCGGAGAAAAAGAGGTGGCGTAACTTTAATGACATTGGTCTTTAATAGGGCCTACTAGCTGTTTGAACTTAAAGGGGTATGGTCGCCTAATTCTTAACTGTAATAAGCTACCGGTTAAAGGATTCTATCCGTCTAGTTTTGGCTATATACATAGATAGAAACTAACCTACTTAAAATGACTAGCCGACTTAAAATGATGTTGTATAATAGATAGATGCACTTATATGACTTAAAGGGGTATACGTCGAATATTTCATTATACCATCCAATTTAATTCAAAGGGAATAGTTGCTAATATTTCGCTTTATCTGATGTAAGCAATTATTGAGGTCGAGGACCTATGCCCGAACAGCTGTAAGTGCTATCCTGGCGTTTGCAATTATTTGGTATTATATATCTAAAAATCTATGTGATTCTACTCATTAATTCAAAACTTATAGATATTCGGATTACAATAAATATTATTTTTTGAAAATATAGATGCTAATATTAGCCTAGTTCATATGGTTGGTTTCATTTTCACTGAATAATTTTCATAATGAAGTTTCATAATGAAGGCTTTGTCATGTCTTATCTTGAGTTGTTATTGAAAACAAAAATAAGTTTACAAAGAAAAATACAAGGAAAAGTCAGGTGGAAGGAAAATTTATGGTTAATAAAAGTGACATATTGGGGCTAGGCTCGGGTTCAAAATGTCGGGGTGGGGTGGGGGGGGGGGAGTAGGGGAGCTCACAGGAAATTATTTCGACCCTTTGAAAATTGATAAGAATTTGAAAGTGTGTGACGGTGGGGAGGGACATGCCCCTGTGCCCCCGGTAGAAACACCAATAATGTAGAGTAGACCATTCTATATATATGCCATTGATACTAAGCCTATATTGTTTCATGACTATACATTATATTCCATTCACAGAGCCCACGCGAGGTTTTCACGCAAACCGTGAACCCAATTATTTCGTCTGGTAACGAAGACATCAAACATGACCTACTTTACTCACACTCACATGACCAATTATTCCCTGAATCGCATAAAAACTGACATTTCTGTACTGAGGTTAACTTGTGAGGTTGGAGGCTCGTATCTCTTCATTTGATCATTTTACTTTCACTGTATCAATCGAGTAGTCGTCCAAATTCAACATGGGTGATGTTGGTTGCTGTTCGAAATTTGCCATCGTGGTTTTATTAGCTGCCTTAATCATGGATGTAATTTCCATTGTGACCAATTACTGGGAAAGTAACGAAGTTTGGCATAATGGTCTCTGGGAGGCCTGCACTACCCAAATAAAATCGACAGAAGTTTGTAACAAAAGCATCCTTGAAGGTTTGTATGTTTTTTTTTCCTTTTGTGTAGTGTCAAGAGTTGGGGAGAAGCTGTCAGGGTGTTTAAATGCTATGTTAGACTTTTAATTTAGGCCAAGGTCTCTCCCTACTCCTAATCCTAGTTTTGACAGTCTGAATAGATATGCTGAGAAAAGAGATCTAAGTCTCAGACTTTTCCTATGCCAACTAATTTGTTAATTTTGAAAAGCACAGATCTGAGACATATATTAATGGAAGTAGGCCTAACTAAATAATGTCCAGTAATAGCCTACGTTGGCTAGTCAGTAGTCTACTGGGTATAATGTGTCTATGAAATTTAATTTTTTTAAAGGGGTTTTATGTGTATTTTGGCCATTTATACATTACATTTTTAAAGTTTTAGTCAGAAATCTGTGGTTCCTGTAATTATATGACATCACTATCTCCAAAGCTTTTATTGGCCTAGGCCTATATTTAAGGTTTTTTGATAGCTAAATCATAAAATGCTTAGTTTTAGAGAAATTGCAACAACTCCATACATCTGACTGGAAATTGGTGGACATTGATGCTATCAGTGGCTCAATAAGCTTACACATACAAAGTTTAGAAAACCTCTTTACTATCCCTTAAAGATGGGTTTCCTTATTTTTTTTAATGTCAAATTAAGCTATTTGATTAAATAATGTTTCTAATGAATTATCATGTATTCTTAATCATATCATTATGTTCATTATTGCATATAATTAAGAATTGTTAACCAATCATAAATGTCCATGTATGTACAGTCTAGATAAACAAAAAAATACTTTTTGACCTTTCTTGATCGGTAACTCATTGGAATTCTGCTGGTAATTCTCTTGACTTCTAATTTAGCTAAATATGAATTAATTATGGACATGTGAGACAAACTGGTATTTTTCCAAGTTATAAGGACACCTCTATTTTCTATTCATATAAGTAATAGCATTTTCATTTTCATAAATAAAAATAAGGGAACCCATCTTTTATTTCAAACATCTAATTGAAAATTGTAATGGTGCTAATCATGCTATCAGTGTCCCCAATACATATAAAAAGTTAAGAAAATCTCATTACATTCTCTTTAATTTCAAACCATAATAAAGTGATGATATATTATATATTGTAGAAGTGATCAATGATAAATTTCAAGCTGTAAGAGGTCTAGTATTAGCTGGGTGTGGACTCGGTGGTCTAGCCCTATTATTCTCCTTTTTATTCATGTGTAAATTCACCACCAACGTCTTCAAAATATTGGTTCTTGTTACTTCAGCTCTCGCAGGTATGTTGTTTATGGCTTATTTTTCCCCATGCATGAGAAAAATAAATTGTAAAGTGCTGTATTCCACTGCAGGATGGTAGTTTTATACATATTTTCTTCCAATCATGAAAAAAGAATTGTGAATTGTTATGCTTTTGGTTAGTTTTCATTCACAAATCCAGTTCAGTTGCACTTCTTTGGAACTAATTATAAACTAAACATCAAAATGACTTCTGCCATTTTGAATCTTTGTGGACCTTTTCTACACTCTTTTGTTAGAGAGCGAACATTTACTGTTGTCCAGGTACAGCACTCAGTAAGGATACTCTTACTGAAAAGGCTGTTACTCAGAGGTGTTCGTTTGTCTGTGATATCTTACAAGAGCTAAGCGACTTCTTTTATCATGACTTTCTCACACTAGCTAGGTTAGAGATTCGGGCAATCTCAGATATCTTGCTCCCCCTCAGACATAAACCTTGCTCCACCTAAATTATTAGGAAACATAAATTTTAGTCTATGCTATATTAAAGATGTTAAATTTTAATATATAAACCAACAATCCTGGAACAGTACTTTGAAATCATTTTAATTGAATTCATTTCATATTTATCTTCATAAATAAACTTTTGATTTGCATGAACAATCAGTTGTATAATTATATATTGATACTGAACCATATGTTTCATGGAGAGTCAATTATGTGGGTTTGTTATTATTGTTTCCTATGAATAACCAAAACCTAGACAAATTAAACAGGAAATAAATGATTCATTATTGAAATGACTGGTGTATAATTATTGAGTTTTTATTCTGGAGTTACTAACAAGGAACCAGGAAGCAAAATTAAAAACACTAACAGTATCAAAGCTCAATACTGCTTCACAATGTCAAGCTATTACTAACTTTGTACTTATACCTTGACTGTAATAGCCATCAATGTTGTATCAGGGAAATTTGTAAATGAAGAGATTTGACTGGATTGTACGCTAGTGAATACAGCCAATCGGAGGCCTAAACAGAAAAGCACAAAGAACACAAAACTTTAATGTTTACAGCCTTTCTGTCCAGAGCTTTGATTTGCTGGCAAACAATCCAATGCATTCTGTGATACAAGAATAGTAACTATTGCAGTCGAAGTATAAGTTTGTAATACTTGACATTGTGCAGATGAGTTCAATACTGCTTCACTTAAATGGTTTCTTTTGTCCTTCTATCACCTTGTCAGTTAGAAAAACACTGGGCTAATGCTGCAAAATTTCCCTCGTTGCATACTGCATGGCGTGTTGTCTTCTTAGTCAGATAAATTCTTTGATAAATAACTTATGCCTATTTTAATTTCAGGTTTGGTGACATTGGTTGGATTCTGTCTGTACACTTCCATTGATAGATATAAGTATGGTTATTCCTTCGTTTTGAACGTCATTGCATCCGTGACGTATTTCTTCGTGGCCATTATGATCGGATTGGACAAGAAAACTAACACATCTTCTTACCAAGGACTCTGAGGTGGAAGCGAAACTCTGCAAACTATCACCTCAATTTCACTTTTAAAAGGATATTGTTATCTCATATTTGCTTTTCCTGCTTGAAGAGCTGATGGTCAGCTATCTGTAGCATTTGTCAGAATCAAAATGCGATGTAAGATTCTCCTGCAAAATACGGAAACCTTGGTAGGGAAGTTCACATTTCAAGGACATAATACATGAAGTGATGTCACAACAACCAGCATCATGCAGGGCTGGGTAAAATGATATAATCGATTATATGTTAGAATTACATTTTTTGTAAATTCCCATTTAACAATTTTATTGAATTGAACCAATTGTCAGATTTTGATCATAAAAAGAGATACAGATGGCTGATATTGAGCTCTAACAGCTGGTGAAGCAAAGATGTAGAGAATTATATATTGAACTTGTTGTAGCAAGGTTTCTCTTGATGTTTCTCTGATAAACAAATTATTTGAAATTTGAAAAGAAACAATCCTGGAAAAAATTTTAAAATTTCACATGGGCGATTTTGAGATAAGAATCCACAAAGATATAGTCCATGGTTACAGCTTCTTTTCAGGATTCAATCTCCTATTTATGTCTTTTAAAAAGATTTTTATATGTTTTTAACTTTGCTTGTGATTCTTACTTAAAATACTCTTAATGTACAAATTTTTATAACTCAAATAGTCAGGCTTCCAAAGTTTAATCTTCATATGGTAAAGGTCAACAGACTGACCTGGGCTGGAAAATACCTTGATAAGCAACAAAAAACATCCCTAAATCTGCAATGAAATCTTCCACACATGCTTAAACTGTGTCATATTATTATAATGTAAGCAAGAGTTCATTGAAATTAGAGGGTTTCAAATGGACAATTCTGGAATTTGCAACTAATCTCTTAAAATATTGATGTAACTTTTTTTTCTCAATTAAACGAAATGTCTCATATTGGTACTTAGTAATATAGCCAAAATATAGATACAGTGCAGTGCATTTGCTTTTTTTCTACTTAAATTTAGTTGAATCATATATATTCAAATAAGGGAAGTAACTCTGAATAGTGGAACAACTATGAAATTATGATGCTAAAACAAAAATTTTTGTTAAATAGATATGTTATGTTAATGTGTATTTGTTTAGTGTTTGTTTTCTTCGATATAGTGCTATTTTTTCTACTTAATCTCAATCCTGGAATACAAATTTGAGTTTCCTTACTTAATGCCCAGGGAAATTGTAAATTGTACTCCTGTTGTGTTCTAAATCCTTAAACTAACAACAGAATCCGCCTTTATCTCTCGGTCAGCTTTCAGTCTAAAATTTAGGTCCAACCTTTAACTTCTGGGCAAAGCTTTAGATAGAATGGCAGACTTGTTTAGGGTAACCTTTTATCCGTTAAAATATGAACAGATATACTAAACCGTAAAGTAGCCTTACGTTAATGAAAAACGAGCTGGTTGCCCAGGGTGTTATATAAAGATATGAAATAGAGATTGAAAGTGGTAAATATAAATATATAGTGTGTATTATTGTGATATCTAATATTTTTTAATCTATATTACTAATTAAAACTCTTCAATATCTTTAAGTATTTGTAATCTGATGAGACAGCATTTCCAAAATCTTAGTCATTATTATACGTCTATCTATGTGGACATATATTGTCGGCACCCCTGTCGGTCCGTCATGAAACGAAGGTCCGTCCGTCCGTCAACATTTGCTTGTAAACGCTCTAAAAACTAGATTTTTTGATGGAATCAAATGAAATTCTGTATGTGTATACATATTCATTAAACGATGATCAACTTCGAATTTGAGCTATTTTCGACCGTTAGAAGCAGAGTTATTGCCCTTGCCCCAAAATCTTAAATATATTTACCATCCGCATGCTGTGGTGGGCGTATATGGCTGTGGTCCACTATCTTTGAAGAGTGTAGCTCAATTATAAACCTTAAACATCATTTTATTGTCAGAAATTCTTTTGTTTGTTTATTCTGTAGTATTCTATTGTATAAGTACTGGGACTACAGCAGCCCAATAGAGAATATTTGTTTTAAAATGGAAATTGATTTGTATCTGAATATAATAGTATGTCAAAACCTTGTATTAGAAGTCACAATAGATGATGCTTTTATAAAACTTAATACCTCTTTTTTTTACTTTTTCATTTTTTTTTATTACTAATCAGTATTTATTGAAAAACCTTATGAGAACATTTTTAAAAATATTCAAAACCTCTCTAAATATGATTAAAAATCCTCTCTTAATATGATCAAAAAACCTCTTTGAAAAATCCAATGTTTAAATCATGTATTATGCCTGTGTGAAAATGTTTAAAACCTTTATAAGTTATCAGTTAATTGAGTAAATATTGAACATCCAATTATCTTTTAGACACTTTTATTTTTCTTCTGTATTATGTAAATATATCTATAATTTTATTAACTCACTAATAAAAATAAGAAAAAGTATATCTTAGTTTATTTTTCGTCTTCAGCTTCTCAAAAACAACATAGGGAACCAGGGTACAGACCGTGGATTAGTTCAGTAGTATCTTAACAGTTTCTTCTTTCATATTGAAAGCAATTGGATTCTTTAAAATGACATATTTCTATAAATGTGTACCGTAATTAACAATTACTCCGCCACTCCGCCACTGGACCGATCAAGAAAGTTCAAAAGTCTTTTTTTGTTTATCCAGACTGTACATACATGGACATTTATCTGATTTATATGCGATAAAAAAATAATGATATGATTAAGAATACATGATAATTCATTAGAAACACCAATTAATCAAATAGTTTGCTTAATTTGACACTAAAAAATAAGGAAACCCATCTTTAAAAGGGGCTCACATGGAAAAAGCGTCTAGTTCGGATGGGAAAATAAACGAAGGCCCCGTGTGCTACAGGCTGTGCACATTAAAGATCCCTCGACAGATGGAAATCGAAAAAGAGCAGGCTAATGCCACTGTCCGGGCTAAATTTCCCTCATTGCACCCTGTATGGCGTTGCCTGTCTTCATTAGCCAACATGGTTCAGAAAAGTAGGACGTAAAACTCCATTAATTTCATTTTAACATGTAAACCTTGTATTGTGAGCAAGCTAATCACAAGTCATGATGTCACATGATATTGAAACCGGTCAATTAACATGTCTGCACAAAACCACGGTATTTGCAACTAGCCAATTTACACCATTTGATCTGAGTTTCATCAGGTAGTATGATTAATCTAAACTGTCGAATCTGTTAACTTCAGACTCAATATCATATCTTATTACATTATCTTATTACATTATCTTAACATTATCATATCATTATCATATCATTATCATATCATTATCATATCATTATCATATCATTATCTTCTCCTAGTCGACTTACACAACTTTCTATTACGTTCTTGAATGAAAATCAATTAAACTAGTTCAGGTGTACTAATGATATCTTATCATTGAATATCAATAGCCATTATAATAAACAATACAGATTTCAATTACGTTTTTTTTTTACTATGAAGATGAAAAATATCAGAAAACATACAACAACGAAATTGTTACCGTAAAAATGAGATTGGTGAATGACTGACTGAATACAATCAAAGATTTGCCCATTTTTTATCTGAATTAATTGTTTGACGAATGTGGACTAAGTAAGTTTTGGTTTTAACTCCAGGCCTATCACTGAACTAGACTGCATTGGCCGTATGCCGACCTACCCCCGTACTAAAATGGCCATATCTTGACCGGAAAGGTATAATATATCCTATAATCTTCAAGACCGCAGGGGTGGGTTGTCAGTGGCTATTGTACGGCGTTGTCAGGGGGCTAGGGAGGCAACCCCACCCCAGAAAAGAGGCTTGTCCGGGTTTCCCCCCACCCCCGACTTTCAAATTTGTTATCATTTTACATAGTGAAAGAATGACCTGTTTCGAGATCAACTTGACTAGTCTGGTTCTTGGAATTTCACTAAAACTAAGCGTTAAGTCGTTATCGCAAACATCCCAAGGTATTTAAAGAAGGTTTCTGGGGTATATAGTGATGTCAAATACGGTTAACCAACTCTATGCTTACAGGAACCACAGACATCTGACAGAAATGGCATGATACATACACAAGCTAAACATTAATCTTAGACACATGAAGCAAGAACACCTAGTCGTAATCCTTTTCAAAGTCAATACTGTCTCTCTCGATTCGACTGGACTGCAAGACAGCGAAAACAGTACGTTGAGGGCAATATCTCTTGAAGCTGATAATAATCTATTGAGTTCTCTAGTTCCTTCTGATCAGCTTAATAATTAATTGTGTCTCAAGTAGTCTAGTACAGTTAGGTCAGCGACTTATCAGAACTTTGATACGCAAATTCAAGTCATCATCGATAGATAAATGATGCGTTACGTGAAATTTCAACTCAATATATTCTGAGTCGATAAGGGATCACCACTTAGTTAGAGTTCGAAAAACAACCGCCATGTCCTTCTCAGATGTTTCGACATTAACCAAAGTGTCCGCATTCTTCGCCCTTGTGGCTCTCGTATTGGATGTGGTATCAGTGGCCACGCCGCACTGGCAGAGCGGAAGTGGATTATGGCAAGTGTGCGAAACTGTCGGATCTGTGACGACCTGCACGTCCATAAGTAAGTGAATTTTATCTTAATTAAGGCTTCGATTGTTTCACTTTCTCAAGAATCATTGAATTCAAACCAAGATGTTAAAGATTCTCCGACAAGAAAAGAAAGAAAAAGGTTGGACACCCCTGTTCCAGAAAATGAAGAAGAGGCATTTCAGCTCTTTTAGAAACCCAACTTCCGGTTTTGTCAAAGCCAAATGTCGAAACCTTGATAATTCCAAAAGACTCAAATGGTTACAGATAATCCTTGAAAGATCAATTTAAAGTATCCTTTGAGATCCTAAATTGTTGTCTTTGTGAATATAATTCTTTTTAAAATTTGTGTTTTTGTAGACGGTGCTTCGGATAAATTCCAAACAGTTCGAGCTTTCGCTGTAATTGGAGTGTTATTAGGGGCTGCTGCCCTGGGTTTGCTCGTCTTATTCATATGTAGATATACTCAACGACGTGTGAAAGTCGTCATCATCAGCCTCTCAGGACTTGCAGGTTAGCAGTGGCGTTTCTACGTGGGGGTGGGAGAGGGCACGCCCCAGCTTTGGTCCAAGATTTTGTTCATGCTATTACATTTAGGGAACGAATCGTCTGTGAGCCCACCTTTGGCTCTTACTCCATCCACCCATCTTATGCATGTTCTTTTACCAACGGTACGAAATAACTGCCTTGCCCGTGAGCGTCCTTTGACAATTAGATGACTCCAACTCGGCCCTGTTACCCAATGATTAATAGAAACGCTACTGGTGTGAACGTTCGTGAAAATGTTTTACCACCCAATATCAAATCCTCCTCCCCAAAATGTTATGGCGGGTGTCATGCACGAAGCAAAGCATGTTTATTCTTTTCGAAACATCTGATGGTAATTCTCTTTGGAGGGGTTCACTATTATACTACCTTTACTCCCGATTTTTCCATACTTTGGAGGAGATTTTGATTGACGGAGTTGTCTTGTTTGTACAGAGTTTCATTCATTTAATCATATTTCTATTTATTTCAGCCTTGTGTACCCTGATAGGATTCTGTATCTATACATCTATTGGTGGAGGTGGTTCTTACGAATATTCTTTTATATTAAACGTTGTTAGTGCTGTACTTTATGTTATTGTGGCCGTGTTGTTAGCGGTCGACCGACATCACTAGCGTTTTAGATACCGCAACGAGTCGTAGCCATTGTAGGAGACAGGGGTTTAAAGTGTGTGTATAGTGTGAGGCCATTTTTGAATCATTTTATATCCCATCAGTACTCTTTGAGCCTGTCTTCACCAGCCTACATGGTTCAGAAAAGTAGGACGTAAAACTCAATTCATTTCATTTCATTTGTTGTACGCTTTGATGCAGCGCAAACCCTGGAACATCACTCCGTCTTACCCAATCTTCAAACCAGATTCGTCTTTGGTTGTCCAAAGCACACATAATATGTGTTTAAGCGAAAAATGCATCTGTCAAACCCCATATTTAATTGAATGTGCAGGTCTCATTGGTTATTAAATCTTGCACATCATTCATGTATACATATACATCACAATTTAAGAGAATTAATAAACTATGTCCAGTTACTTCAAATGTGTTTTTTTACTTTATATATTTCAAATCATGATTTGACAAGGTAAAGCAATCTGATATATTGAGTTACTTCCCTTAAGTCACATTCACAGGCTGGAATAATCCTTGGCGGTAGCCTACTTACGATTATCTGGATCTAACTGAAAGCAGTGATGATCTCAAGATGATTTTATAGTCATTATGCGAGTCTATAATCCGCTTCAGTCTATGATAGTACTTTCACTTTCGCTTCGATTTAGACTTTTTACTTTTCTTTCTCGTTTTCACTGACGGCGTCCATAGTCGTTCCTGATTGTTGTCTAGTGTCATGTCCGGTACAGACGACCTCCCTGACGACACGTCTGAAACGTCCTCTTCCGGTTTTCGATTCGATGTACAAATTTCATCTGCTGCTTTCAATTCCTCTTCAATGGATAATAAATTCCTAGCGAATTAAAAATGAAACGGTATTAATTCCATTATCAACAATGAAGTCTACAGAGAACATTGCCACGAAAGACGTAGACTAACTTACTCCAAAACAATTTGATGCCTAAGAAAAGACCCTAGTTACGACCCTGTATGACCCCTGATTCAGAAGCCATTAACTAACTGGGAAATGACGCGAAAGTTAACTATTCCAAGCTGCATCACTTACTTGAGAATAAATCTATGATTTTTGGATTCCACTGTATTTCTTCTTATAACTTTGACTGTTTCGTTAGAACATCTATCAGACATCTAGAACGACATTTAAATTGATGAGATAATCAGCAGTTTGGAGTACATGATAGTACATGATAGTACATGATAGTACATCCTACCCGTGTATTCGCAGCAATTACACAATGCGTTGTAGAAAGCCTTGACTGCAACTTTGAACAAATCAACAATAACTATTAGGCCTACAATTCATCATTAAATCAAATTATTTTTCTATTGTCTATTTGTTCGTTTTTTCTGTCAATATTAATAAAATAGAAATTATTTTTTTCAATGCCATCATCGACAGATATTGAAATTATTAAGGACAAGTGTTGATTTAACCCACTTACTTCAACAAGATACAAAAAATCTTCCACCCTCATCAAAGAATTAGCACTAATAACATCATCGAACACATCCCGAATGCTGACGCCATTTTGTTCCAAGATGGCGGCAAAGTCTTCCAACTCGTGGCGGGTAAGTTCACGCGCACTCTTTCGTTGTGAAAAATCCAGCGAATATTCTACGCTGATGTTCTGAGATTTCAGGTTCTCGGCTGCAGTTATGAAATCTCCGTCAACTGTAACCTTCTGCAATGGAAAGAAATGATTTGTGTAAAATGGAGGTTTACGTCCCACTTTCATGCACCTTGAGTCTGAAAAGAGCCAGAAACAGTCTTCGACTCATCCCCCCGCCCCTAACTAATGTCTGCCACAAAGGCAACTTCAGGTGGTGCAAAGAAATAAAAGAATTGGGATAGTTTGCGTTTCTGTCCAAAAAAAGATGAAAATGTCAACCAATAAAAACAATTCTTATATCCTACCTTTAATCCCAGGTGCTTGATATGACAATTGGTGTTGGATGAAATCATCTGAACCATTTTATTGACCCCTTCCACCGATAGAGTGTTATTGTTCAGCTGAAAATTAAGGATTTGTAACTGATGATGATAATGTAAATCGTTGAAACGTTGTGTACTATAAAACCCATGAGTAGTATACTATATAAATTGATGATGACAATTTAAATTGTAGAGACAATGTGTACAATAAAACCCAGGAGTAGTATACCATATAAACTGATGATGACAATGTAAATTGTTGAAACGTTGGCCAAAAGCTGCTAATAATTACGGTCCTTTGTGATATTGACGTCATAAGACGCTTAACTTTTGGCAGAATTGTAAGAAAAACAGACGTCTGACTGAAGATTGGAAAGTGCAAAAGATGCTAGCTTTTTTTTTCATGACCAATTGAAACGACATAGAATACAAACCTGCAGGATCTCCAGCTTAGAGTGTTTCTTTAATACATCAGCAATAGCCATGGCACCATCTCCATCAATTCTGTTGGAACTCAGATCTAATTCTGTCAAGCTGATATGAGGAATATGTTCTATCAGGGCTTGAGTTCCTAGTTTACCAAAACCGTTCATTGACACTCGTAACACTTTCAGTTGATCGTTGGACTGGGGGAAATAGAAAAATAAATACTTGTAGACGTGGATTCGTCGATATAGATTCTGCATATAGATGCTTTGTAATTGCACGAAATAGATATAACAAACCATTATTACTTATTTTCGCTACTTCACAGACACATTGCCATAGTAATGAGTGGGGAGGGGAATTCAAAATTCTCTCCTTCAAAAATTGGTATCCGTGCAAAAGATATTCTATACTCTGTGTGTATAAATGAAGTCACTGTACATGTACCTTCATACCACGTGCCACGGCCAGTGCTCCTGGTAGTTGAATGTGATTCCAGCTGATATCCAGTAGTTCTAACGTTACATTGTTTCCTACAAACACAAAGAAAGAACCATATTTTACAAGGATAACGGAGCCGAGTTTCTTGTCTACCAGCTAGACCTTGGTGAAACCTCTTAGCATTGATCTCTCCAGGATTATCTGTATTCATTTACAGCTGGGTTGACTGGAATCGTCTCGTAAGTTGATTTTTACAATACTAAATTTCATAGTTAGGTTTTGGAAATCTTTTTGTAGAAGAACTGAAATGTCTCTGCTACAAGGTGGCCATCTTTGTTTCAGCTACTAGAAACAGCAACCATCAACAAATAATAATGGGTTACATTACATCAGTTAATACCTACCTAAAGCTTTCCCAATAGCTATGGTACCTTTATCACCGATTCTATTATTCGCCAAGTTAAACTCTTTCAGATAGATGTTGTTCTGAAGGTAATAGTTTTAAAAAGATTTTATTTACAGAATTTCCTTGAGTAGGATTTTGGTAAGCGTAATTTCAGTTAGTAGACATTTTTATCATCGGGTCAGTTTGTTAAAATATATACATTGCCATGGCTACCTTCGACTGTGTCCGTTAATAAATATAGGAACAAGAAAACAAGTTAGGAATCGGACGCATTAAATTAGGTAATATATAGTCTAAGGCCTTCTCGATATTTTCAACCAAGACCAGAAGCTTACAAGTTCTTTTTTAACAACCCAAACTAAACTGAGAGAAATGGATTCAACCCTTCAATAAATACGGTGTGAAAGTGGAAAGTGGGTTTTAAAGTTTTAACAGTGTATCATTATGTAATAAGTCAACAACCTGTATTATGTGTGCAGAATGAACACCGCCTTTCTCTCCTATATTATTTCCTGAAATATACAATAATAGCAAGAAATGAAATCTAAGTGACCAACTTAGTGAGAGGCTGATGAAGACAGCAATGTCACGCTGTGTGCAATGAGGGAAATTTTCCCAGGATTGCGGAGGAAGCTCTAATGTGAACAGCCGGTAACACAAAGGACCTGCATAAAAAGAGTATATCGTGTTTGACAGGTCTATATATGAAAATGGAGAGAATCTATAATTACCTGATATGTCTATTTTAGTCAGTTTATTATTATTCTGCATGATAATTTTAGTCAAACGAGCTCCATAAACACCAATCTTGTTATTAGCCAGATTCTAAAAATAATACAGATAGAGTTAACAAATATACAGTTATTAAAGGGACATCTTAACAATGATCAGTGGTGTACTTAGAGGGAGGGCCCTCGGAAAGACACTCCCCATTTTTAGCCTTCCTCTCAGACATTTCCTAATACACCCCTGGTCAAGGTATTAGGAACTTCGTCTTATTCAAAGTTCGTACTACCTTGACCATTGTAAAGATGTTAGATGGATTGTAAAGGTGTTTTCTAAACTTTGCTTGTACATCAGGGCACGATACTGAACTGCTTTGAATTCGTATCTGAACAATTTCATCTTAAAATCCGAGGTAACAAGCATGAGGATGAATATCCAGTAAAGGGATTGTTATAAGCTGTATATCTGTTGGAATGTCTATCTCATCTGAGGACAACCATCGATTTACACTACTCAAATTTTCAGTTAGACCAAAACAAGAAATATTACCATTTCTGTAATAGTTTTGTTATGTAGCAGAAGTTCTCCTATAGACAACATGGCGGCAGGACCAATTCCATTCTCTGATAAGTTTAATTTAGATACCAGATCTTGAGTCTACAACAGAAGATAATAATTATATTAAAGTCTATATAGCCAGTATTGTTCATATATATATATATATATATATATATATATATAAGAATGATGTCAGATGTTCTACGTTGGTGAGAGATTTATCACAGGTATTACGCCATTGAAATATTACCCTGATCGTAAACAAGAACCCCCCACACCTCTCGCAGCTCTGAAAACAAGTTTTTCGGGCAAAATCTCAGATATCTTGCTCCCCCTTGGATGTAAATCTGGCTCCTCCACTGGATACAAGACATATTCTTTGTCCACGCTCAAGGTTTCGTTACAATTTCCGGAGAAATTTGCTCACACCATATCGCATTAGGATTTCGGCAAGAGTATATATAGGTGGTTGAAAGACCTCCTCAACCAGTTACCTTTATTAGTTTAGTCATAGCAGTAGCATCACCATAGTTTAAATATCTAAATTTCATATTCAACTCTTCAGTTTTACCATGGCGTAAAAAATAATTATTAGGTACCACTTTCAATTGTTCACAGAACTGTCCATATTTATATTCATGTTCGTGACGATGAAGACCCTTTTCTTGTTTAATTAGATTCGTACCTTGTAAAAAAGTAACATTATTACAGATTAAGGTGGTGGAAAGGTAACAAGTTACTATTCAACAAAAGGCACTGGCAGAGGATTAAGGCTAGTATGTTTAAATGGAAATTCGTAATGCTTCTAACATACACTTAAAAATTATAATAACATTAATGGAGTGTTTTATATGAGTAACATCTTACTGGAGGGTGGATATAAACAAGCAATATGGCAATGCACCAGACGGAAGACCACGACCTCCGAGGTTCAAGCAACACGTGATAGTGGGAGCAGTTCTAATACTAACTGATGATACTTGCTGGTTTAGAGCTAAATCGGAAGAATGTTTAAGGGGATATTAAAAATGTTTTCTAAACGTGTTTTGTATATCGGGGGCATTGATAGCATCCCAAAGTCACAAAAGACATAGCTTTCATTTTCCCTTACACGTTTAGAAAACCTCTTACATTCCCTGTAATAATATTAAACATGGATGGTGGAGAAGAATGGAGCAAGGCGATGCTTGCTCGGACAGGATGGTCAGTCAGTCCTGTTTTTGTGGATTCAATTTTATAATCCACAGAGTCACCGTCTGTGAGAAAAAAATCACCAGTTCTCACCGAGATCTTCCTCCAAATCTGTTTCATAAGGTTCATCATCCGAGGGTTCGGAAATCTCGGGAGGGGCATCAACTTTTTCTGGAAAATAATTCTGAAACAGCTTCCCAAATTTTCCATCTTTCATACGATTTCGTCGTTGCTGATACTCCGTGGGGTCTTCACAAGACAAGTCACTGACACTTTGGTTGGAAAACGAGTCGCAGTTGGAGGACAAGAGAGTGCTTCTGGGTGTCATGGACAGAGCACTCCTAGAAGCTCTGATGGGAGTGATACCTTTCGGTGAAAAGGAGTGACAGGAAGCCCTGGAACCATTCCGCGACGATGTTGAATATTTCGAGGCACTAGCAGTTCTTCTGGTGGATATGGTCGGAAGACGACTGAAGACTGAAGTATTTTCTGGCATTTTGATCTCTGTAATTAGCAACATAAAAATCAAAACAATCCTAACTTTCATTCAATATTAACTTATTTCTTTGTATTTATTACCATAAAATTTTGATTGAAACATTTCAAAGGCCTTTCGACTCAATAACGATCATATAGGTAGGTACTTTCAGACTGACCTAATTTGGGTGGGGGGGGGGGGGGGGGGCAGACTGGCTTTATAGATTGAGGGGGGTTGAGGTTTCAAATGCAGAAGCACCAGATGCGCAAACTCCCATATGAATGGCCTGAGGAGATTCTTCCCTTAGAAAATTTTTGAAAAAAAGAATTTTGACATATAGCTTGCGACAAAAACGTATAAAATATCATAGAAATAAAATGGAGGTACAAATTGGGGGTACAAACTATTTTTCAAGGGGAAAGGGAGGACATGTCCATTAATATTACACTGGAGGCAAAGTGTGATCGATCTACCTTTAATGATTGAGTTTACCTCAATGTTTTGTGTAGGGATTACGTGAGACATTGGTTAATATAGTTTGATCATAGAATTGAGGCAACTGTAATTAAAATTTCTGTCGCCAGAAAAACCTCACATTATTTATTTTTGTTATATATAAATGTCTTAAAAACGTCCTTACCTTCTAAGTTTTCTAGTCTAACATGATTTTAAGTTAAAATGGTCTAATATGATAGAAAATGGCAATATAAAAACCTCCTTACCTTGAATATTATCTAGACTAACAGGGTTTTAAGTTGATTGTTTAAACTACATACTAGCTAATAACTAACTTGTTATACACACGATTGAGAGTATAAAGATATAGAATAAACGTTAGGAGATTAGGGATATAGGATATATGTTAAGGGATTATCAATAATCCGCTGTATAACGTTCAGGTCTGATTAATCTAAAGGCTATCATATGATATAATATTTCATAAGATAAAAGGTATTATAATACCTGTAACTGCAGTAAGAAGGAATGGAGTTTTACGTCCCTTTCTGTATATGTTATGTCTGATAATATGATACAGTTTTACAATTGTTCAAGTTTTATTTTGATTGTACAATTTAAAGGACCAAACGCGCATATATCTCTAATTTGGGATACTTGTAAGTATTTAACGGACATTTGATTATACAATTTTAAAGGGACAACTTCTCAAAATGTCCACAATCTTTGGTACTGATACGTATTTAAGTGGCGTTTAAATAATGTCCATAAAACCCTCTGAAATGAAATTTGAGTTGATAAGCCTAATTACAGAATGGTATAAGGCACTCCACCCAGGGGCTAACTATGGGGCACTTGATAAATATACTTTGACGTTGGTGTATGTTATCTCAAGCAAGTGGACTCTCTGAAATGAAACTTGAATTGACAAACCCAACTACAGAGTGATATAAAGTACATGTACTCTACCCAATGGCCAACCTCGCCTAATAGCCTATACCCAATATTGGGTATTCACTTCTGATTAACTTACATTGACGCTGGTATCTACATTGAACTCCCTGAAACGAAATTTGAGTTCAGAAGCCCGTTCCAAGGGTGGCAACAGGTGTTCCTTCGTTGAGGTGATCACTCATTATGTTCCGAATATGTGGATTCTTGTAAATACATTTATATTAAGCAATTGTTAGTACGATATATAGACACAGCTTGATAGAACAACATTCATTGGTTAAAGTTTAAGACAACGTTTCGACGTGATTCCCCCATCGTCCTCAGTCACCTATATACATTTATGTTGGTATCAATGCAAGTTGACTCTCTGATAGAAACAATTTGACGCCAAATAACAGCATCACGTATTTCAACCAAAGGTCAACACGCATCAAGTCACCAACTTGGGATACTTGTAACTATCGACTCTTCAAATCAAATCAAAGCGTGACATCAGGTGTTTCAGTAGTGTACTGTTTAACGCCTGTATCATATATACCCCCCGGTTAATGATAAAAAAATGGCTATATTATATTTAATGATTATGTTTAAAAGTTAATGATTAATTTTAGATGATATAATTAACATTGATTTCGTGTCAACCAGCAGTATAAATCATATTACAAATTATCGTATTTTTAATCTTTTGTAAGATATATTATCATGGATCTTATAAAGAGATTGTAAAAAAGTTTTGTAAATTTTTTTTGTTTATTGGGGACACTGATAGCATCAATTTACACCATTCCAATTTTCAATAAGACATCTTGGTATCTGCAATTCTACTAGAACTAAGTATTTGATGACATCATTAACATCTAAGGGCCTTTTTGATAAAGCATATTTCGCGATAAATGACGTCATCAAACGTATAAGGTATTATATTAGATATTCTCTTATAGAAGCACTGGTCTAGGTCACAAGTAGAGACTATGGATTTCTGATTGCTGTGTAATTACAGGAACCACAGACGTCGGTATGAAACTTGTAATGGTGCAAATTGATGATATAAGAACAATCTCTTTACAATCTCTTTAAGATCGACTTTCCTCTTAATAATCACGCTTTATGAGAAGCAACGAGGATATTTTTATTACAAAATCGAAATATAGTTTAATACTGAAGTAAAATAGATTTCTAAGTGGACTGCGAATGCCTTGGGGCACACGATGCATACATTTCCTGGAATCTGTTTTTTTGAAAGTGCTGCGTACTCTGTGATCAAGAATTTTTAAGGGGTTGTAGAGAGATTTTCAAATTTTCATTCCAATTTTCCTCAAATATCTGTGATTATACCTGTGGGGCTAACCAGCAAAATCTTAAGAGAAGGGAGAAGCCAGTACAATAGCCCTATCGTTTACCTTTGTGAACGAATGACACGAGCGCGGACCTATGCGAAGCTCTCGCATAATTTATTGTTAGGAAACTTCTTTACAATCCCTTTAGAACTGTAACCATAATGTTAATATATACGAACTGAGTTGTGGGCAGTTACCAGGGGAGCTTATCTAGACCAAACAAAATCACATATTGCCCACTGCATGGCATTGAGAAACTTTATTACATCTTTAAGATTTATATATGGACCATTGGACGGAAAAACTCCATTTCCATTTGAATTCTATTTGTCTAAGATACCAAGGTAGCTCAGTTAGATCAACAAAAATACCTTATTGTCCACTGCATGGCATTGAGAGCCTTTGTTAACTCGTAAGATGTATAGATGGATAATAAGACGCGAAATTCTATTTCACATATTTACCAGGTGGACTTATCTAGATCAAACAAAATAACCATATTACCCACTGCGTGACATTGCCAGTCCTTAACAACTCGTTAATATGATGACCACGAGGTGTAAAAGTCCATTCCCATATATTCCATTTCATATTTGAAATAAATAATTAACCATTGTCGGTTAATTTATCCCCATTTACCAATTCTGAGTCTAATTTTCTGATTGCTAATGGATTTGTTAATAACATCATTGCCGCCGTTAATTAAAATAGCTCATTAGAGTGCCTAGACCTTTGGCTTTTTTCATATCATTTCCGATTATTCCATATTTTCCTTTCCTGTTTGCTGTTCCATTCCATACTTGCTTGATTGAGTGTGGAAGTGTCCTTTAGGACAGACCAATCCTAGCACTATATCTATAATATCAGAAAAGTCAGATTGAGAATACTTGAACAGCATGTTGTCTGCGAACTCATTATATTCCACATAGTTTAATTTACTGAATCCCGGGTGATTCCTAATAGTCTGTCAATTTCTTGATATGTACATATTTCCATGGATCCGATGATGCCTTAAATAATCAGTCGACCTACGTCCACCTTAAAGTCATCATCACCATCCCAATCTGACTGGCCTCGAACCCAATCCCTTTAAACCAATTCCCTGTTAAATATTTTCTACAAAAGTATTTTTATTTTATAAATTATAAATGTTCACTGTATGTGTTTCTAAACGTAGTATGTAATAAACCTAGAAGTAGTATATCTATATATCTTGTGTTTTTAATGTTACCTGTATGTGTTTCTAAACATAGTATGTAATAAACCTAGAAGTAGTATATCTATATATCTTGTGTTTTTAATGTTACCTGTATGTGTTTCTAAACCTAGTATATAATAAACCTAGAAGTAGTATATCTATATATCTTGTGTTTTTAATGTTACCTGTATGTGTTTCTAAACCTAGTATATAATAAAACTAGAAGTAGTATATCTATATATCTTGTGTTTGTAGTGTTACCTGAATGTGTTTCGAAACGTAGTACATGTACGTAATAAACCTAGAAGTAGTATATCTATGTATCTTGTGTTTTTAATGTTACCTGTATGTGTTTCTAAACGTAGTACATGTACGTAATAAACCTAGAAGTAGTATATCTATGTATCTTGTGTTTTTAATGTTACCTGTATGTGTTTCTATACGTAGTATATAATAAAACTAGAAGTAGTATATCTATATATCTTGTGTTTTTAATGTTACCTGTATGTGTTTCTAAACGTAGTATATAATAAACCTAGAAGTAGTATATCTATATATCTTGTGTTTTTAATGTTACCTGTATGTGTATCTAAACGTAGTATATAATAAACCTAGAAGTAGTATATCTATATATCTTGTGTTTTTAATGTTACCTGTATGTGTTTCTAAACATAGTATGTAATAAACCTAGAAGTAGTATATCTATATATCTTGTGTTTGTAGTGTTACCTGTATGTGTTTCTAAACCTAGTATATAATAAACCTAGAAGTAGTATATCTATGTATCTTGTGTTTTTAATGTTTACTGTATGTGTTTCTAAACGTAGTATATAATAAACCTAGAAGTAGTATATCTATATATCTTGTGTTTTTAATGTTACCTGTATGTGTTTCTATACGTAGTATGTAATAAACTCAGAAGTAGTATATCTATATATCTTGTGTTTTTAATGTTACCTGTATGTGTTTTGAAAAGTAATATGTAATAAACCTAGAAGTAGTATATCTATGTATCTTGTGTTTTTAATGTTTACTGTATGTGTTTCTAAACGTAGTATATAATAAACCTAGAA